CTCCCTTCCCTCCTTCAAGTCCTGTCTCAGGACCCTCCTCTTCAACCGTGCCTTCAATTACCCTCCTTCCCCCCCTGCCCTCCACCCTCCCTGATCGCAACCCCCGCTTCGATCCGAAACATTGATTGACCAGCGCCTTGGGACGTCCTCCTGACGTGAAAGTTGCTATGCACATGTAATTTTTGTTTGTTTGTTCAGGAGACTGTACAACACCCACCAATACACCTGGATAATAAAATAATGTCTTCTCCCCTCCCCACCCCCAGCTCAGCTGCCAATCCATCCATTTGGCAGATTCTCTCCTTGTGAAAGGCGTTATATGAATGTCAATTTGTATTGTATTTCATTCTCTCAAATCAGTCAAAATAGTCTGTCATCGAGACAGCTTGGCTTAGTTAATGGGATAGCCTGGCACCTTGCCTACAAGTCAGAGACGGTTGTGGGTCCAAATCTCACTTAGAACTCACAGTCTAACTGGCACTTAAAAACAATGCTTGCGGAGGGCTGCATTGTTGTGAGTCCTGTCCTTCGCATGAGATGTTGAACTGAGGCCTCGTCTCCCTGTTCGAGCAGATATTAAAGATCCCACATGATTATTTGAAACGAGAAGGGAGTACAATAACAGCTTCCGTTTATATAGCACCCTTCACGCAAAGTAACATCTCAGAACGCTTAACAGCTTAAGTAGGCATTTCCTCCTTGTTTTGTCATGTTCTGGGTGGCCAAATGGCCTGTTTTGGTGGTGGACCTTCTTCGTAAAGCTTTGAATCTAAAATGAAACATTCTTAATTGTAAAAATCCTTCTGGATGGTACATAACACCAAGTTGTTTTCTTCATCAGCTGCAGAAATAGAGGGGCTGAAACATGCTCTCAAATCAAAAGGTACTGTAAGAAGCCAACAGTTTAATATAAAAAACAGAAGTCGCTGGGAGCACTCAGCAGGTCAAGCAGCATCTATGGAGAGAGGAACGTGGGTTCACGTTTCAGGTTCTGATGAAAGGTCATTGACCTGAAATGTGAATCCACTTTCCTCTCAGGGTTGGGCAAGCTTTCCGTCCTTCTCTCCCTGCTCTTGAACATTCCTGTCGTCCCTGCATATCACCCACACTACCTTCAAAACTCACCTTAAGACCCCCTTTTTAACTGCATGTCGGTTATCGCCCCTTCCCCACTCCACTCCCAACTTCAGCTCCAAGTCAGTCGCATGAAGCATTTAATTCTAATAGAATTATTTGCCAGAATCACAGAGGTAATAGATAAAGGGTAATTGATTCATGTCGTATTGATGGGTTTTCATAAAACAATTGACAAAGTACCACAGTTGTTGATGGTTACGAGTTCAAGCACCATGTTAGGATGTTCAATTTATACGGTTTAGGTTCATACCACAATGTGAAGTGTGTTGCATTGTTGAAGGCGATATCCTTCAGATGAGGCATTAAACCAAATCTACTTCTCCTGTTCCAGCTGCCACTTCCAGGCCGCTGATGTCCTGTCAGCTTATTTGATGGACATCAAGGCCTGGATGAGCGCAAATTTCCTGCAGCTGAATGTCGGCAAGATGGAAACCATACTCTTTGGCTCCAGTCAATGTCTTCTCTCCTGTGGGTCTGAAGTCCTCAACCTCCCCGGGATCTCCCTCAGACTCACCGAACCCATGCGCAGCTTAGGTGTCAGGTTCGATCCCCAGCTCTCCCTTCTACACCACATCTGGTCCCTGACCAGGACCACTTTTTTCCACCTCCGTCACATTGCTTGCCTCCATCCCTGTCTCGCAACCAAAGCAGCCGAAACCCTCGTCCACACCTTTGTCACTTCCCAGCTGGGCTATTCCAATGGTCTCCCCAGTTCCACAATACACAAAATCCAATTAATCCCAAACTCAGCCGCCTGGACACTCACCCGCACAAAACTCCGAACCTCCATCACACCAGTCCTTGCCAGGCTCCACTGGCTCCCAACTTCGGATCAATTTCAAGATCCTCTCACTCATTTTCAAACCCTTTCATGCCCTTGCACCTCCTTTTCTATCCGATCTGCTTACTCCCCACTCCACCACCCGCTGCCTCCACTCGGCTGGCTTGGGCCTCCTGTTTGTCGCTCGTGGCCTCAGCTCCACCATCGGTTGACATGCCTTCAGCCACTACTCCTTGAAACTCCCTCAATCCCTCCTCCTTGCTCCCTCCCTCCCCACCTTCAAATCCTGCCTAAAGATCTTTTTCATTCTGCATACGGTCATCTTCCCCCTGGAGATAACAACAACTTGCACTTATGTAGCGCTCTCCATGCAGGGTAATGTCTCAGAGCGCTTAACAGTGGTGGAGCCTGACTCCGAGCCGAGTTGAGGGTGGGGGGGTGGTTTTAGGGAGTGTAGAGGTGACCGTAAGCACGGTTGAAAAGGAAGGTTTTCAAGCGGGACTTGAAAAAGGGGAGAGTATGGGCAAGGTGAAGGGATTGAGAGAGAGTGTTCCAGAGCATAGTGGCTGAAAGCGCAACCTCCAATGGTGGGGCGGAGTGTGCAAGGGACAAACAGGAGGCCGGTGCCGGTCAAGCAGAGGCTCCAGGTGGTGGATTGGGGAGTGAGGAGGTCGGAGAGGTATGAAGGTGCCAGGGAGTGAATGGATTTGAACACGAGAGTGTGGATCTTGAAGTCGATCTGTTCGGTGATGGGGAACCAATGGAGCCTGGCCAGAACTGGTGAGATGGGGTACAGAGTTTGATCCGGATCAGTATGCGGGGGCAGAGTTCTGAATGAGCTGGATTTTTTCAATGGTGGAGCTGGGCAAACCGACAATGAGTGCATTTGAGTAATCCAGGCAGGAGGTGACTCACACATGCTTGAAGATTTCAGCTGTATTTGGGGTAAGGTATGGTCAGAGGCGGCCAATGTGGCGGAGGATGGTCCTGGTCAGGCACTGGATACGGGAGAGGGAGGACAGCTGGGGGTCAAACTGGACACCTAGATTGTGGTCTGGTTTGGTGAGTCTAAGGAAGAGCACAGGGAGGTTGAGGAGTTCAGATCCGCAGGAGCGAAGGTGTTGACGGGAGCCAAAAAGTATGGCTTCCGTCTTGTCCACATTCAGCTGCAGGAAGTTTGCACACATCCAGGCTCTGATGTCTGCCAGACAAGCTGATAGCACATTGGTGGACCTGGAGATGAAGCTGGAGGAGGCAAAGTAGATTTGTGTGTCATCCGCATATATGTGGAAGTTTACCCTGTGTCTGGAAGGGGTGAGAGGCAGAAGGAGAGAGTTCCAGTGGTCATTGCAATTGTAATGGGCAATTAACAACTGGAACAGATTGGCATTAAGGGAGGTAAAAGCCAGGACACTGGGATTCATTTAAAAAGCAGCTTGATACAGTAATGTGTTCGATACAGTAGGGTGTGTGCTCTGGGAGGAAGAGATTTCATGGGCTGTGATCTTGAGGAGTGGCTGAAGTATCTCTAGTTTTGACAATTTATGTCTAAACCTCATTGTCTTATATTCTTATTTTACCTTTCCAGCTGTTGTGAAATTGGATTCATCCAGCGCAGATCCACTCTATAGTGTTTTGTCTGGAAACAGCAGCTTGACTTGGCAAAGTACACCAGGCCAAAAGAAGGCTGGCCATACCTGGGCCATATGGGCCATTGATGCCATCAGCTCTGGGCAGCATTATTGGGAGGTGACTCTAGAGGGCTCTGCTGTGTGGTTTGTGGGTTTGGGGAGGAAAACTCTAAAACTGTCTTGGCTGTCCAGACCCAAACCTCAGGATGGCCAATGGGCTATGATGATGTGGAACAGGGATGGTTACCAAATCAGGTCGTTAGGCTCAGACATAGTTTTAGTTCATCTGAATAGAATCGGTATCTACATGGATTATGAGGGGGGGAAGGTTGCCTTTTATAATCCAGACAATCACAACCTTCTCATGGTACTCAACGGGCCTTTCAATGGACAGATTTACCCTTTGTTCAGACTCTGCGTCAGCGGCCAACAAAACATCAAACTCACAATTTCCTAATCTCCTAACATTTGCTTCTGCACTGAGGGGACCAACTGCACCAAAGGGTGGTGGGGGGGGAACCTGCTGCTGCGGGGTGGGGGGACACACACACACTGCATAAGTTTCTATGATTTTATCCTGACCTGTCACTGAAGGAAAAAGTTATGAACCTTTTATTGCTTGAAAACTAATTTGTTCTCGCTTACCTCTCTGTTCATTTTGCTGAAGAAAATAACAGATGTGATTCTATGATCAGTCTGACATATGATGTTCAGTGATATACTGGTGCTGTTGATGGGCACAGTATTTATCTGGGGAGTGGGAAACAAAACATTCTGTTTGCTCAGCGTAATGTTTTGTACTATGTAAGAAACCAAATGTCTAACTTGTTCTAAAGGCACACTATGCTTGATAATAAACTATCTTCCAATTAAATTTCAGTCTGAGGATGCGGTTCTAGTCAGGGTCCAGATATGGGGGAGGAAAGACAGCTGAGGATTGAATCTGCCTCCTCGGTTGCACACAGGTTCAGTGAATCTGAGGGATAGACTGGGAAGATTCAGGTAAGAGCCACAATTGAGGAGACGTTGACGGGAGCCAAGAAGGATGACTTCTGTCTTGTCAATATTCAGCTGCAGAATGTTGGCGCTCATCCAGACCTGATAATAACTTTTATTTGCCGGATGGTACCATGGGCTCATTAACGTGCACCTGAACAGGCAGATGATTTATCATCTCATTCAAAGGGTAACACCTTCACAAGCCAAACGGAGAGTTTCATGTATGGGCACATGATAGGCTCAGTCTCCAAGTAACTGCTGGAGGTTATATAATAATCTTTGCATTTCATATAGCCTCTTATCTCATCTTCTAGACGTCTCAAAGCTTTTACAGAATATACTGTAAAGTGAATTGACTGTATATTTTGTGGGCAAAAGATTAATTACATATAGCGCTCACGCACAGCAGTAACATACACACACTGTAATCTCACACACACACGGTGATTGTTGGATACTCCTTTAAGTGTAAATTAGCTATTAACAAAAGGACCAATAAAAAGAAGAGCAGGACATACTAAAGGACACTGTGACAAAGTGTATGGTGGATTTCCGTGTGTTTGGATTGACAAATAAAGAAGTTGCTAATATATCCTTGATTTGAAGCGAGTTATGTTACATGGTGTCAGAAGTGAGCTGACTTTGGATGGAATTGGATTACGAGATTGGAAACCGAATTAAAGAAACAAATGCAGACTGAAACAAAGAATATGAGGCCGTGATGAGGTATGTGCAAATACCAAGACCGCTGAAGTTAACTGGCAACCTGAAGCATAATTGGAACCGGTTTGAATGAGATTTGCAGTATTTGTCTTAGCCATTAATATACTAAAGCAGGGGGCAAGGGGGAGAGGGACTCTAGGAAGGAGGGAAGGAAGCGCTCCAGGGGGAAGGGGCTGAGGGAGGGAATGATGGGGAGGTGCTGCAAGATGGAGCGGGGTGATGCTCTGATAGCGATGGGCTTTGGGTGGGAGGAGGCGCTCTGGGAGGGAGTACAGGTCACTACAGACAATTGTCTCCTGGTTTCAATTCTGTCCGGAAATGCAATGTGCTCCCCGCCATCCTGCGGCAGTAATCCTCCTCAAACATCTGGTTCTGAGCCACAGTGAAGTGTGTTTTCCAGTTTCCCACAATGCCTGTGAGGACAGAGCTCAATGTCACAATAATAATTCATTTATAATCGTTGCATTTGACACAACACCTAATCACATCGTCGAGATGTTTCAAAGCGCTTCACAGGATACGCTGTAAAGTGTAGTGTCTGTGTATTTTGTGGGCGAAACAAAGGCAGCCAGTTTTCACACTGCAATGTCCCATTTAGGGGATTGTTGTCCAGGACACCGGAGAGAGAGAAACTCCCTTCTCTTTTCCCCTGAACAGGGCACAGACGGGGAGTGGGGTTTAACGTCCCATCCAAAAGACATTGTCTCCGAGTATGTGGGGCTCTCTCCCAAGCACTGCAGTGTCAGCTTAGACTGTCATTCAAAATCCCAACATGAGGCTCAAACTCACAACCTCCTGATTCAGAGGCGAGAGCACGAGTGACTGAGCCAAAGTCTGAGAGACTGAGACTAGAGAGAGAGAGCAAGAGTGAGGAACTGAGAGAGCAAGTGAGAGACTGAGCCACAGGCTGACACTGACTCCTTGTGTACCATCACGATCTAAGATGTGTTCTCTTACCTTTCCTCATGAATGGAGATGTTCTTTGGTCCAACACATCAAGCGGAATGGTTGAATAGTTGGTCATTGGGTTGAGTTTCATGGCGTTGAAGCTGGTGTGAGCAACGATGGTGTCCAGTTCCTTGCTGCCCAGCTCCTTGCCCAGAAACTCAGCCACCCGCTTGATTTCACGCCTCGGGTCCTGTTGCGAAACTGGGCAGTGAAATAAGCTGGCCGATTTAGATTTAGTAAGCAACAACACAGGCCAATTTGGTAGCTAATCACCAAATTAGCAGTAACCAGGGAGCCAGAGTCCTCAATCTGCAGGATTATTGGCCAAAACACTGGGAGAGAGAAACTGCCTTCTCTTCCCTTGGGATGTGGACAGACATGTAGAGAGAGCAATAACTTGCATTTATATAGCGTCCCTCACACAGCGTAATGCCCAGTGAGCTTGACAGTGGCGGAGCACATCACCAAACCATGGAGAGGTGACTGTAAAGATAGTTGAAGAGGAAGGTCTTCAGGTGTGATCTGAAGATGGGGAAGGAGGGGACAAGGGGGAGCAATAGACCAACAGAGGGAGTGTTCCAGAGTTTCCGGATGCAGTGGCTGTAAGTGCGGCCACTGATGGTGGAACTCGGGGCATGAGGGATGTCCAGGCCGGAGCCAGCTGAGCAGAGGAATGAAGGGATTTGAAAATGAGTGTGAGGATTTTGAAATCGTTCAGTGATAGGCAGCCAGTGGATCCTGGTGAGGCTGGTGTGATGGAGGTACGGAGTTTAATGGGGGTGAGTTTGCGGGTGGTGGAGTTTTGGACTTACTGGATTTTGGGGGGAGATTATAGAGGAATGCATTTGAACAGTTGAGGCGGGAAGTGATAAACACATGGACGAGGGCTTCGGCTGCGTTTGGGACAATGTATGGTCAGTGGTTGGATCTAACCCTGACCTGGGAGTGTGGACCGGCAGTGTGTGTGTGTTAGAGGATCTGGAACATTGTGACCTCCGACCCCAGTCTTTACCTCCTTCATGTCTTCATAGAACATGTAGAGAATGGGAAAGTTTCCTCTCTGCTCCCACCATCCCTTCACGTGATCATGCCACAACCCATACGTGACTAAACAGGGGAGGAAACACGCGTGTAAAAAGTTGTTGCATGTATAGAGAGACACAAAGAGAGAGAGATGGAGAGAGGGATGGAAAGAGAGCACCTCCCCACCCCTACGGGACGAACTGACCATTTCCCGTCAGGAATTTCTGTAAAAATTCCTCCCAAGTCCCGGGATCCGGCTGCAACATGTTCATTCGGTCGAAGTGGAAAAACGAAACCACATTATCCTTGGCGTTTCGAGCGCAATAAATGATCTAGTGAGAGAGAGAGGGTGTGTGAGACAGAGAGTGAGAGAGAGACACAGAAGGTCTGTGTGTGACAGAGGAGAGTGTGGGAGACGGAGTGTGAGAAAGGAGAAAGAGTCTGTGTGAGACAGGAGAGTCAGACAGAGAGGAGAGTGTGAGAGAGATGGAGTGTGATAAAGGAGAGACAGAGTGTGAGAGGTGGAGGAGTAGGGAGGGAGCAAGGGGAGATGTTTACCTTGCACTGTTTTTGAAGAAAGGATGTGGGAATGAGCTGGAACGGGAGATGCGTCTTAATCGGTTTTGGAGATGGAATCTCAGCAAGTAATTCTAGCCCTGAGAGAGACGGAGAGAGTGAGTGAGACAGAGAGAGCGAGAGACAGACAGAGAGCACAAGAGAGTCAGTGAATCAGAGAGTGAGTCAGAGAGAGAGTGAGACACAGAGAGAGTGATTGAGAGTGAGTGAAATAGCAAGAGAGTGAATGAGACAAAGAGGGTGACTGAGACAGAGAGAGAGTGAGACAGGGAGAGGGAGACACAGAGAGAGAAACAGCCAGAGAGAGTGAGTGAGACAGAACGTGAGGAGTGACACAGAGCCCAAGAGTGAGAGACAGAGAGGGATAGGCAGCGAGAGAGTGAGACAGAGAGAAACAGACTAGGAGAGGGCAGGGCAGACTGACCACTGGGCATTTCCGGGAAGAAGGCCTCGAGGAAGGGGCTGCGGTAATGGATGGGGCTTTGTTCACACTGCCTCACATCCCCTCCATGGAGCACACAGTCCACTATCTCCTGCATCCAGGTCGTGCCTGATCCCAGCCAGAGACAGTAACATTAACATAATTGTTATTATTAATACAAATGCCAACAATGGTTGCAAGAAATCGCTTCACAAGAAATACTATAAAGTGTTGTGACTGTGTATTTTGTGGGTGAAACCCGGAAACCCAATTGCATACTGCGACGTCACACAAACAGGCGTGGATTGAGTGACCAAATTATTTTATTTATTATTATTTTTTTGAAGGGATTATTAACCCCATACAGCAATTGACTAACAATCAGGTTCCTACTTACTGCTAGGTAAACTGTTAAGAATATAGGAATTTACCTGCATTTTACATACACATACATTTTGAGGGCAAGCAGGGATAAGGGAAGTACAGAGTTAACAAATTGGTAGGTGACACCAGTTGTGGTCTAAATCACGAGGTGTGTTCCAAGTGATCTGCAGGGTATCTGGACTCACCTGAATGATTTAACAGGCACTCGAGATGAGATAGAAAAGGTTTATGATTTAACAAGCAATAGAAGTTAACATTTTCATCTCAGGACCTGGTGACCTCAAGGCCTGGGCTGCTGACCAGAGCTTGTTTTTTTGGTTCTGTTAATAAATCCTTATGTACTGTGTGTATAAATGATTCTACAACTGTTTCACTGACATTGGGATTGTCAAGTCAATCATTAGCTAAGGTAATCTGGCGGTTTTCCCCCAGAAACCTAATGAAACAGAGCCATTTGCCAAAGAGAAGTACTAAATTAATTTAATATAAATTAAAAATGGTAATGGAGAAAAGAATGTGACTAAAGATAGATAAATCTGCAGAACCGGATGGATTCCACCCCCAGGGTATTAGAATAAATTGGAGAGAAAATTGTAGATGTGCTAATCATCATTTTCCAAAGCTCTATATATTTGGGAATGGTGCCCTTGGATTAGAAAATTGCAAATGTCATCCCATTATTTAAGAAGGGGAGAGAGAAACCAGGTAACTGCAGACCTGTCAGCTTAACTTCAGTCGTGGGGAAGTTACTGGAATCTCTCATCGGGGACAGAGTGACTGAGCACTTAGACAAGTATGAGCTAAGCAAAGGGAGTCAGCATGGATTTGTGAAGTGTAGGTCATGTCTGAAGAATCTTACAGAATATATTGTAAAGTGAATTGACTGCGTATTTTGTGGGAGAAATACGGCAGCCAATTGCGCACAGCAGTGTCCCACAAACAATCGTGGACTAAGTAAACTTATTATTATTTTATTTATTTGTTGTTTATTTTATTTATATGTTGCATAAACTTGGGTCTGTATTCCCTTGAGTGTGTAAGGTTGAGTGGTGATCTATCTGACTGAGGTGTTTAAAATAATAAAGGGATTCGATAGGGTAGATACAGAGAACCCAATTTCTCTGTTTGGGGAAATTCAGAACAAGGCGCCATCATCTTAAAATTAGAGCGAGGCCATTTAGGAGTCTTTCTTTCACGTTCTCTTTCCCGTCAGCGGTGCGGAGAACTTTAACGTCCACGCTGTGATAGACAGGGAACCAGAGAGTAAAAGAGAAATGTACTGACCTGCCTTTGGGTAGGTTGCGATCAGAACATCAGTCTTATCCGCCTCGAACTCTCCAACCTTTTCCATGTTTTCCAGAAAATAATGCGGGAGCGGTACTCCGCGGAACGGGATCAGCTGTGATTTCCTGATCACTGACGGATCCATTGTCCAGGAGAGAAGCAGAGAGAGCGATTGAAAGAGTGAGACTGCGAGAGACACTGACTCACAGATTCCTTTAGCGCAGATTCCTTCGGAGTGGAGGATATGTCAGTGAAGGCAGAGTGCCTGAGCAGAGGGTGAGGACAGGTTTATATAAGTACAAAAGTGAGATGATAACAAACTCTGACTCAATCTCTTATCTTATTGTTCAGGCCCAAACTGGTGAATGCAGCTCACACGCAAGACTTGTTTACAAAAACTATTGTGAAATACCAGGAACGTAACCATACCAACCAACCAATTAAAATTGACATTTGTGTCCTCCCAGCCTGGCTCAGTCCCTCTCGCTCTGTCTATGGCTCAGTCTCTCTCTGTCTCAGTCTCTCTTTCAGCCTTTGGCTCAGTCGCTCACGCTCTCGCCCTTGAGTCAGAAGGTTGTGGGTTTGTGCCCCACGTCGGAACGTCGACTCATACTATCTAAGCTGGTGCTCCAGCTGTGGGAGAGATCGCCACATTGTTAGAGACGCTGTCCTTCAGATGAGACGTTAAACCTCACTCCCCGTCTGTGTCTTGGGAGATCAGGGAGGACTTTAAAGATCTCCCATGGCGGGGAGGGGAGAGAGGGTGAGACTGTGCCTTTTCTCTCTTTCAGTGTCCCAGCAGAGATAAAACTGCTGGCTCATTTCATGAGTATTTGCGGGTACATCGCTATGTGCATATTGGCCACCTTAAACAGTCACTACACTATACAGCAAGACCTGTAAAGCGAACTCCCGGGATGAAAGAAAGAAATTAGCTGTACCCATTGCAGTTATTTTTGTAACCAAAGGATCCAATATGAAATGTAGATTGACACACATAGACGTTTCATCTTTATCTATACTCACGTGGGAGGGCTCCTGTGGGAAGACTCATTTCTTTGAATGGGCAACTCAATTTGGCGCGCTGGTGCAGCCGTGCTATTCTTTGTTCTTAGGTTTTATTTAATGGGCCTTCCCTCTTTTGTCGAGGATTTTTACTTTGATTTTCGCTTAGGCATCTTTATAATGATAAATATCAATATTTCATTTATAATCACTGGGACGTCCTCCCGATGTGAAAGGCTTTAAAAATGTAATTCTGTTGTTGCCGCGGCTTAGCTTCGTCTGTGTTCTCTGTTTTATTGCTGCTGCCACTTGGCTACGTGCGTGCTTTGTGATCCACAGCGCCACTTTAGCGAGGTGACCACTGGGCGTGACCACTGGGCGTAACCACGGTGAAAAACTGAAATATATATTTAGGCCATAACTCATGAACAATAGGAGATACTAGAAAACAAATATGCCCATGTCACTCCAAGTTGCAAGACGTTCCCGATGAGGTATAAATCAAGTCTCTACGTCATTCGGTTATCGTGATCCTTCTTGAAGCGCACACAGCCACAGAGACATTTCTGTTTTATTAATATAGATAATTGGTATCCATACAGCAGCCAACATTCAAGGAAGCGTGTCAGGAGTGTGTAACACAACAAGTGAAAAGCAAAATGTTTATTGTTACCAGGAGGAATTTCAGAGATGGAGGTCTCTTTGACGGTCTCTTTGACCGTGCCTTCAGCTCCCCTCTCGACTCTCTTCCTCCTCCTCGCTCCCTCCCTTCCCTCCCCTCACCCTGACCATTTCCCCCTCCTCTCTCCCTCCCTTCCCTCCCCTCACCCTGACCATTTCCCCCTGCTCGGGTCATGACCCAACTGTGCAGCGCCTTGGACGTCCTCCTGACGTGAAAGGCGCTCTATAAATGGAATCTTGTTGTTGTTGTTGAGGGGCGAGGAGAGGGGAAGAGAGAAAAAGCGAGTGGGTGGGGGGGAAGGAGAGGGGTGGGGGGAAGAGAGAAAAGGAGAGGGGTGGGGGGGAAGAGAGAAAAGGAGAGGGGCGGAGGGGGAGTAAAGGAGAGGGGCGGGGGCAGAGAGAAAAGGAGAGGGGTGGGGGGAGAGAAAAGGAGAGGGGCGGGGGGAAAGAAAAGGAGAGGGGCGGGCGGGGAGAGAGAAAAGGTGAGGGGCGGGGGGAGAGAAAGTGAGGGGTGAGAGAGAGAGAGTCGGGGGGGGTGGGAGAGAGAAAAAGAGAGAAAGTCGGGGGGAAGAGAGAAAAAGAGAAAGGGGCAGAGAGAGAAGGGGAGAGACAGAGAGAGAAGGGGAGAGACAGAGAGGGGGAGTGGGGTTGGAGGTGGGAGGTGACACACCCCGGGGGGGAGGGGGTCACTTTTTCTTGGTATCTTTACAAGCCACCACGTAGCGCTGAGCCACGTTCGGGGGGCGCGAGTAGCCATCAGAGTATGAGGTGTCTTCAAACAGCACCGAATAGTCCTCCTGTGGCTGAGAGAGAGTGAGGGGCTGTGTGTGAGAGACTGCGTGTGTGCGTACACACGCATGTGCGTGCAGCACCTCAGGCCCGCATGCACACAACGCCTCTCAAAGGACATCTGACGTGAAAGGCGCTCTATAAATGTACTTTTGCTGCTGCTGTTGTTGTCTGGAAGTTGACCCCATTTCTACAGATGAAGTCACCAAGAGGGAGCATATAGATATTGATGAGGAGGGGACCAAAGACCGAGCCCTGAGGAACACCACACAAAACCGTGCAGGAGCTGAAGAAGAAACATTTGTGGATACAAAGTGGAGACAGTCACAAAGGTAAACTTTGAACCATTAAACTAATCTTAAAAGAAGAAAATGCTTTTAGTTTATAACTAATCTTAACCTGTGGGCCACATCTCACACCCTTAACTCTAAAGCCAAAGGCAAAAATTAAAGATTAAAGCCACCAAACCCCAATTTTGGGGTCAGCCGGGTATCTGACACATGCAGAAACCTGTCACCGTGCTTAAGGGTATCCAAACCAGACTGACAATTCCACCATTCTCCTGCTCACAAATCAGACAGACCAATTGAGCGAGGGTACGACGAGCTGGAAATACAGATTTTCAACTGCCGCTTTTTTTCTCTTTGCATCCTAATGAATAAGATCCAAACCCGGGATATAGATGATGTGAAAAGCGCTATATCAAATGCAAGGATTACCATTATTATTGATTATATATAAACCTGCGTCTCACAAATCCAGACTCCAGGTAACACCTTCCAGCTGCTGTTCTCTCAAGCCACAGTGTTTCTGAGATCTCCACTTCTCACTGCTTCTAGGAAATAGTCTGTAAAAATAAATCATTCAACACTTCAAATGTTGATTTCTTTTCCTTCAAACCATAATAGCTATGTGTTTCACATTACTAATGCAAGACCATTACACAAACAAGCTGAGGTTCTGTGCAATACCATGATTTTACACTCCTGCACTTCTTGCATTAAAATACCATCAAACTGCCCACTTCACACATCATAGTTTGAACCAGATGTAGTCTCTGCCAGGCTTCTGTCACTAGTTTATCTCAATGGAGTGCACACCATTGGCGGCAAAGGCAAATATCCATACTGATCTGGTGTTCATATGTGCAACTCACAGTCCTCTTTAAATACTCTGAAGCATGGTGATGTGTTTCTGCATGTGTTGCTTTTTAATTTAATGTGGCAAAACACAAAGATTTCACAGATTATTAACTCATCACATTCAGTCTATTGATGCAATCTATACAATATAATACAATTTACAATTAAAGAGCCCTTTTTAATGTCCCAAATTGCTTGACAATTCTGGCAGGGCCCAAGAGCTGAGGGTGGGAGCTGAAGGGCTGGAGGAGGCACAATTTGAGGTATGCCTTAAGAAGGAAAGGAAAGAGCAAGTCAAACCTGTATTACAAATTGCTGCATACAATTACAAGTAAAATCAGGTCTCCAGAAGTTGAATAATGTTTCCATTCATTAATTTCTGGAATAACAGTCTAGTATTCCATATTGGTAACTTCAGCACTAACTCTCCTGGGACCTTACACATATTTATGTGTGATAGTGTGTACAGTGTGTACTTTCCAAAAAAAACCTGAAGGCTGAATAAATAGTTTTCTTTATTTTTGAACTAGACTCTCTCCTTTGTACAGAAATTATGACTCCATATTAAATTACCATCAGAGCAAAGTAAGCATATTATTTAATCAAGAGTTAGTCTTGATGCAAAAATAAAATATATACTGTATGAATTTACTGCACCACAGCCATCAAAGGGGAATGTTTTGCCTAATTCCATTAATCAGATGTTTTGCTTACCCTCTCCTGAAACTTTTTAGTTTATTGCAGTCGTTCACAGAGTAACTTGTGGCCATTCTTTATTCTGAGCAGCAGCAAAGGTGATGTAACATTGGGTTGTCGCAAGCAAGCGAAATTTGAACTATTGTCGTCTCTGCCAGGCTTCTGTCATTAGTTTGTCTGATGGAACGCACACCATTGGCACAAAGGCAAAAATCCATACCGATATGGAAATACCATATGGAAATACCAGATGCAAATATCCATACCGAACTTCCGTTGCAGTTTGAATTCACTTGATTCATGTGGCCCATGATATCAACGGCAAATGCAAAATCAGAGAGCCAACTTGCATCATTCAGCTGTGGGAAATCCGAATCTTTTTGTTTCATGCCGAAAAATCAATCAATCTCTGTTCTCAGTTCCCACACTCTTTTCAAGACCTTTCCTAAACTAAGCCATTCATGTGATACAGGACATCTGTGTGCTCAGATGCCAATTCCTGAAGCAGAGTTATAAATTGCCTGTGGTTTAATCCTCTTGCTTGAATGTAGTTGACCACTTTCGTAACTGTGTCCATGACATTGCTGAGTTTTAGAACACTCTTACAGAGGACCTCTTGGTGGATAATGCAGTGTAGAAAAACAATATTCTGTTCTGGATTTGTTTCTTTGACTTGATCTTGAAACCTTTTTTTGCTTGTCAGATTTGGGCTTCCATCAGTGGTCACATCCACCAATTTTTTCCACTCCTAATTTTAAGATACACTTATTTACTGCCTCCAAAAAGTCTTCTCCGGTTGTCGTATCTTTCATTGACTGCATTGATACCAATTCTTCTGTGTGCTCCAAATGTTTGGTGATACCTCGAATAAAAATTATCAACTGGGCTGTGTCTTTGACATCACAACTCTCATCGAGTGCCATTGAAAAACATGCAAAATTGCTTACTTTATTTTGTAACTGCAGATACAGGTTATCAGAAATATCCTCAACATGTCTCAGAATAGTTCACCTTGACAAGGTAATGTTCCCGAACTGGTTCTTCTGGTCTGGGCATAAAATCAAGGCAGAGTCAACTATACATTCCTTTATAAATTCTCCTTCAGAGAATAGTTTGCTGTTCTTGGCGATTTTGTGTGCAATCACGTAACTCACTCTTGTAATCTCATCCTGGGACACAAATTATTTTGTGAAAATGCTTTGCTCTTTTTGGATTTGAACAAGCATGTCATCAGCTTTCCTTTTTCTTCGGTAGAAACGTTCTTATATTTGTAAGCATGTTTGCTCTCAAAATGACGATTCAAGTTGTAGTCTTTGAGCACTGCCACACTTTCTTTGCAAATTAGGCACACAGCTTTTCCACCCACACTGGTAAAAAAAATTTAGAAGTCCATTCTTTGTTGAATAATCGGCCTTCGGGGTCCACTTTCCGCTTCTTTGATAAACTCATTTCAAACTACCGGCCTCTGCAGTGAAAAGTATTGCCCCTGTTGCTGCTGAAAAGTATTGCCGCGCGCGCGAGTGTTTGAAAATTCGCCATTTTCGACGTCAGCCTGATTCAACACGTAAGGGAACGTGTGCACAACTAAGCCGTGTGATTGCCTGATGTTCCCGGTCAGATTCAAATAGGAAATTTGTGTGACTTTCTGGGACTGAACCAACTGTAATTTTTTCTATTGCCGGACACAATGACGGGCCGGATAGAATCATATGGCGGGCCGGATATGGCCCGCGGGCCGTCTTTTGCCCACCCCTGCTCCGACTCCTGCTGCTGAGCCTGGCCCCCTGAGCTGCCCTCCGCAGAGCCTCGCAGTTACTGCGGAAACGATTGCTTTTATTCCCCAAGTTATCGATGGAAGAAAACTTTGGTTTAGTGTCGAGGTCCGTGCACCTCGGACACGGAATCCGATAAAGCCAATTTAGCCGCCCTTCACCCGAGGCCCCGCCCTTCAGCCGAGGCCCCGCCCTTCACCCGAGGCCCCGCCCTTCACCCGAGGCCCCGCCCTTCACCCGAGGCCCCGCCCTTCACCCGAGGCCCCGCCCTTCACCCGAGGCCCCGCCCCACGCCCTGTAGTTTGAGGATCTCGCGAGATCTTGAGCTCATTCGTCACCACAGCCCGGCTCCAGGACCCGCGCGGCTCACAGGCAGCAGGTGAGACCCTGACACACACACTACAGGCAGAGACCCTGAGCGGGTGTAACACACTGTACACACACACACACACTACAGGCAGAGACCCTGAGCGGGTGTAACACACTGTACACACACACACTGAGCGGGTGTAACACACTGTACACACACACACTACAGGCAGAGACCCTGAGCGGGTGTAACACACTGTACACACACACACACACTACAGGCAGAGACCTTGAGCGGGTGTAACACACTGTACACACACACACTACAGGCAGAGACCCTGAGCGGGTGTAACACACTGTACACACACACACACACACACTACAGGCAGAGACCTTGAGCGGGTGTAACACACTGTACACACACACACACTACAGGCAGAGACCCTGAGCGGGTGTAACACACTGTACACACACACACTGTACAGGCAGAGACCCTGAGGGACAATGTACTCACACGGACGCAGAGCGCGCGACTGAGAGAGAGAGAGAGACTCTCACTGCGTCCACACTCACTGCACAGAGACCCTGAGACACTGTCCACACACAGACCCCGCGAGCGAGAGAGACACTGAGATAAGGAGCAGACGAGGAGGGAGAGGCCTCGGGCTGCTGTTCTAACCCGGGGCCGAGCCTGGCGCTGCCTGGCGTGTATATAGCGCAGAAACGGGGGGCGAGAGAGAGGGGAGAGCCTGGGCCCCGGGGGGGGGGGAGAGCCTGAGCCCCCGGGGGGGGTGAGAGCCTGAGCCCCCGGGGGGGGTGGAGAGCCTGGGCCCCGGGGGGGGGGGGGGGAGAGCCTGAGCCCCCGGGGGGGGAGAGCCTGAGCCCCCGGGGTACAGCCCTCTGGAGAGGGAGCAGTTCCAGCAGGTGCTGTAAAGCGTCATCACAGCCGGATCTGGAGTCCGGCTCCTGTTAATTTCTGAGTAAAGTTTGTGGACAAAGGGCGGCTCATTGCTGTACAGGCGGGGAGGGGGCACAGGCAGCTCCAGCCCCACCTGCGGCTGTTGTTATGTTGTATTTCTTGTTTGTGGTGTAAACTGTCCAAATCCCTGACTGTGCAGCGCCTTGGGACGCCCTCCCGACATGACAGGCTCTGAGTAAGTGTCATTTTGTATTGGTTCTACAATCACTTAACTGACTGCATTGTTAGATTACAGAGGTGCATAACAACAACAACTTGCATTTGCACAGTTCATTCAGGCGGAGTGGCGTCTGGAATGAAACTGGAATTGCCAGTTGCTGTGGTGGTTGGTGTGCAAGAGGTCAGAGATGCTGTGGGGCAAGGTGGTGGCGGTATTTGAATGTAAGGTTTTATTGGGTTTGAAGGTGCGGTTAGTAGTGAAGTTAACCACTGTTATAATCTTATTCTGTTAGCCAAAATTTTATATTAGAAACTCAGTGAACAGAGGAGCCAAAGTCACTTGTATTTCATATTTTATTATTATTATATATTTTAAAGCTTGTTTACTTGATAAGGCGGAAGAGTTGCATTAGTTCAACAACATGGTTATCATACAACAAACAATATTTGCTGGTATGCTCAGGTGTAGCTATATTATTTGTAATAACAATATTAAAGTCAATATCAAAGTTCATAATTATTAGGCAAACAGCTCAAGGCGAAAGGTTGGGCAAGTTTCTTTACTCCGTATGCCTCAGTTTACCTAGCATTAAGTAAGAACCCGGACGTTAGTCGATTGGTGGATTACCTTTCCGGGGGTACTAATTTCAAAATAAATAAAAATAATTTGGTCACTCAATCCACGATATTCTGTGAAGCGCTTTGACACGTCTCGAAGACATGAAAAGGAGCTATATCAAATGCAAGTATTATTATTATTATTAGCTCATGCTTGGCTTCATTCGAAGGTACAGCCAGTACAGTCAGCAGTGGAATTAATGAGCGTGTTGAACCTGGGAGGTTCAATAGTAGCATTAACGCTCTGTTGAGCTGACAAAGCGAGTGTTAAAACAAAGGCCCAGATATTGCAGCTGTATGCGCATATCATTGCAGTTCTTCTGTTCTTTTGCTTTTTCCCCAATTTTGCTTGAATTTGCCAGAACCGAGGTCGAGTGTCTTGAGTCTCAAAACCTCAGGTGGAAGTTCTGTCTTCCTGGAGGAACAGAAAACGTAGTTTCTCTCACTGACTCGGAACAGAACACTCAGGTAACCAACTCAGACTGAACATAGCTTAGCTACACCTCTGTTATCATTGTCCTTTTTTTAAACATCGGGATGGTCCGAGCAAATCTGCACGTCCTCACCCACCTGATAGCTGTTTTCAGGCTGGTTTGAATAAGCCGAGATTGTCCACGAGTACAGTACCCGTGAATGGATTTGAATTAAGATATTGCAGGAGCGTTACATCAACAACCAACCACCGTAATAAACACATTGCTTACTTCTGAACCATTTGATCTCATCAAGGCATACATGCTATTATTTTCGCATAACATTTTATCTAAAGTTACACCAAAGTCCCCAAAACACACGTCATCCTCAGACATCAACTCTACAATTTAGCTGATTCTGTTTAGGCTTACAATGTCTACAAATCATGAGGGGATTTGATAGCATAGAAAGGGAAAAACTGTTTCCACTGGTGAGTGTGTCGGTGACTCGAGGTCACAGATTCAAAATAGTCTCTAAAAGAAGCCGAGGGGAGGTGAGAAGAAATTTTTTCACGGAGTGAGTTGTTCGAATCTGGAACGCATTACCTGAAAGGGTGTTTGAGGCCGATTCGATAACTACTTTTAAAAACATGGTGGACGGGTATTTGAAGAGGATGGGTTTGCAGGGTTATGGGGAAAAGGCTGGGGAGTGGGATTGACATTAATTGCTCTATTCAAAGAGCCGGCGATGGGCCGAATGGCCTTTTTTTGTGCTGTACGATTCTATGAAATCATTCCAATAAAGACTAATAATTGCTAAAGCATTTCTAACTGAACTAAAATATCATATTTTTGATTCCAACATTCCCCCCCTTGAATTCGGGAATCTTATTAATATTCTGAGACTCACACACACGTATATATTATTGCTGATTTGTTTTTGCAGATTGTTGGTGATGGTCTGCCTTTGTGTGCCACTGCTACTGATTTCTGTGCTTTTAACCGTTTAATTTCTGGATCTAATTGTTGCAAAACTAAGCTAAAAATTTTGAAAACATGTAATATCCAAGATAAATTGTTACCGTTGTTACCACAAACCCTACCAACCTGGTCATTCCCTTCACTAAGTGGGCACCTGTCTGCTTCATGTCCCCCACCAATCAACGGTTGGGCTTTCAATGTATTTGCCCCCACTTTCTGGTACTCCAATTGTCACCTTCCCTTGCCTCCTTCAAGGTTAATCTCAAGACTTCCCTTCTGACTATGCTTTTCCCTCCCCACTCCCCTTGTCCCCTAGCTTGGGTGCAAACCTTACTGTCCAGCACCTTGGGATGTACTCCCAATACGAAAGGCGATATATAAATGTAAATTTGTAACGTATATTGGGCTCTGTAGTGTAAATGGGCAAATCTACATCACCAGGGACAAAAGGCTTATATTTGAAGCAGCTCTGCATTGTTATAATATAACGTCAGCTGTATATTCCTGGCTGAAGCACACGATAGGCAATTGCAGAGAAGTCTCTTATGATCTTCCAAATGCTTTTCTGGATCTTTGTCACAACATCAAAGCGCTATAAGAAAAAAAAGTAAGAATTATTATCATTTACCTGCACTCCTATCTCACACCCAACCACGTAGCTTGTCATTGAACCACTCTCTGGCAGGCATCCTCCTGCACCTTGGACCACTAGTCATTATTTGGTGACGATCCAAAATCCTATTTACCATTGATTTAGCCAATTATGTGGTCAATTTTCATAAAGGTCAAATCTCTGAATACGGTTGATTTAGAATATCTGTTTTTGTGCGTTTCTTGTTTACTGCATGACCGGCGTTGATCAATGGTATTTTTGCAACAGACCTTAAGTTTTTCTGGAAAAATTAGAAATGGATGTTAGAGAACTTGAGTTCATTGTTTGGTAGCCTGTTGGGAGAGTAGCATGTTTCCTTATAATTTTGTGTTGCTTTGTAATTCAGAGGAATTAAATTACATTATAAATATACCAGATCTGGGCAAAGCCTTCCACTTGGAGACAATACTTTGGAGCTTATATAAACTGGAAACTATTTGAGGATGGATTGGATCTCAGAGGGGGTGAGCCTGGTATTACAAGCCTGTCATAGAATCGTACAGCACAAAAAGAGGCCATTCAGCCCATCGAGTTTGTGCCGGCTCTTTGAATAGAGCAATTAATGTCAGTCCCACTCCCCAGCCCCTTCCCCATAACCCTGCAAACCCGTCCTCCCCAAATACCCGTCCACCATGTTTTTAAAAGTAGTTATCGAATTGGCCTCGACCGCCCTTTCAGGCAATGCGTTCCAGATTCCAACAACTCACTCCGTGAAAAAATTTCTTCTCACCTCGACTTCTTTTAGATACTATTTTGAATTTGTGACCTCGAGTCACCGACACACCCACCAGTGGAAACAGTTTCTAACCTATCAAATCCCCTCATGATTTTGAAGACCTCTATTAGGTCTCCTCGTACCTTCTCTGCTCCAATGAGAATAATCCCGGCCTCTCTGGCCTTTCCTCATAATCAAGGTCCCTCATTCCTGATACCATCCTCATAAATCTCCTCTGCACCCTTTCCAATGCCTTAACATCCTTCTTATAGTGCGGTGCCCAGAACTGAGCGCAGTATTCTAACTGAGGCCTAACCAGTGTTTATATGGGTTAATCATAACCTCCTGACTCTTGTACTCTATGCCCCTATTTATAAAGCCTAGTATCCCATATGCCCTTTTTACAGCTTTATCTACCTGTCCTGCCACCTTCAAGGATTCATTTACCTGAACCCCCAGGTCTCTCTGATCTTTTACCCCCCTTAAGATTGTATTACCAGCCTATATTGCCTCCCCTCATTCTTTCTACCAAAATGCATTACCTCGCATTTCTCCACATTGAAACTCATCTGCCATGTGTCGCCCATTTTACCATTCTTCCTGCAGTCGGCTACTACTCACTGTTTACTACCCTACCTAACTTTGTGTAGTCCGCAAACTTGGAAATGGTACTTGCTATACCCAAGTCCAGATCATTAATGTATATTAAGAAGAGCAGTGGTCCTAATACCGATCCCTGGGGGACACCACTGTACACTTCCCTCCAGTCAGAAAAGCAGCCGTTCTCTGCTTTCTGTCTCCCAGACAGTTCTGGATCCATACTGCCACTGTCCCTTTTATACCATGGGCTTCTATCTTTCTTACAAGTCTTTCATGTGGCACTTTGTCAAATACCTTTTGAAAGTCCATATAAACTACATCAACTGCACTACCTTTATCCACCCTCTCCGTTACCTCATTGAAAAATTCTATTAGATTTGTTAGACAAGATTTGCCTTTAACAAATCCATGCTGTCTGTCCCTAATTAACCCATATTCTTCTAAGTGAAGATTTATTCTGTCCCGGATTATAGTCTCCAGGAGTTTCCCCACTACCGATGTTAGGTTGACTGGCCTGGAGTTCCCAGGTTTGTCCTTCTGTCCCTTTTTGTACAGAGGAGTCACATCCAGTCCTCTGATACCACTCCTGTGTCCAACGAAGATTGAAAAATTGTAACCTCTGCTATTTCTACCTGTGCCTCCCATTGTTCACATGGTTCGAGTCCGACTTAACCAACCGCCAGCACTTCATCTCGGCCAATGATTTTTTCCTCTCGCTACCGCATGGTCACCTGCAGGGTACCCCAAGGCCCCCTTCTTTTCCTCATCTACATGCTCCCTCTCAGCGATGTCATCCGCAGACATGGGGTCAACTTCCACATGTATGCAGATGACACCCAAATCTACTTCTCTTCCTCCAGCTGTGACTCCCAGTCTACTGATGTTCTGTCAGCTTGTCTGACATACATCAAGGCCTCAATGAGTACAGGACTCTGGCTCCCATCAATGACTTCTCTCCTATGGTTCAGACCGCCTCATCCTCCCCGATCTCTCCACAAGACTCACCGAACCCGTGCGCAACTTAAGCATCAGGTTCGATCCTCAGCTATCCTTCGTAACCCACATCCAGTCTCTGGCAAGTTCCACTTTCCTCCACCTCCGCCACATTGCCTGACTCTGTCCATATCTCAGTGCAAAAGCTGCTGAAACCCTCGTCCACGCCTTTGTCACCTCGACTACTCAAACTCCCTCACCACTGTTCTCCCCTGTTCCACTATTCCTGAAATTCAACTAATTCAAAACCCCGTTGTTCACATTCTCACCCGTATTGAACTCCTTACCTCCATTATCCCAGTCCTTGTCAGACTCCATTAGCTCCTTATCACAGTGTGGATCGATTTCAAGATCCTCACTCTTGTACTTAAATCCCTTCATGCCCTGGCACCCCCCTCCCTCTCCAACCTGCTCTCTCCCTACCCTACTACCCGCTACCTCCGCTCGACTGACTCCAGCCTCCTCCTTGTCCCCCGGACCGTCCACCCCACCATCGGTGGCTTTTGGCCACTATGCCCTAAAGCTGTGGAACTCTCTCCCTCAGTCATTTTGCCTTGCCCTCTCTCGTCCTCTTTTCAGGTCACCTTTGAAAATCTTTCTCTTTGACCGTGCCTATTTGACCTTTCCCCTCCACCTGGCTCAACATCGGGCTTCGCCACTGTTAAGCACTCGGAAACGCCATCCAGCAAGGAGGGCACTGTATAAATTCAAGTAATTCTTGTTGTAGATCTTTTAAAATCCATCAGAAGAACGGCAAAGGGGATCTCAAATTAACATCTCATCTGAAGTGCCGTTTCTCTGACAATGCTGTACACCTCAACACTGGACTGAAGTGTTAGATTAGTGTATGAGCTAAAGCCCCGCTGTGGGGTCTAAAATAGAGGCAAAAGTGTTCTGAACTGAACCCGACTGTTACATACAAGCTATTTTGCAGAGAGGGAAACTTAACAATTCGTCCTGAGATGTTAGTTAAGCCAACTTGGGATTTTCTTGTGCACCTGTTCATATCGGTAGCCTTGGCAGATCACCTGTCTCCACTCAGCCAAGGAACACCTTAAAGCACAGTTTATAATTTGAAAAAAAATTGGCTTTTCATGGTATGACTTTTATAATGCAATGTTAAACTCCAAGTTGCATCCTTGTTAAATAATCACCAGAAATTATTCCTGTTTTCAGGGTTTACACACTGTATGAGTGCCATGTGCAAGACCTGTACATGTTATATATCATGTTGAGACTTGATTTGGGGGTTTCTAGTGAAAGGAGGTGATGCTTGACTATGCTCTATTCACGTACCTTAAAGGAAGAAGGGCCCCGTTATCTATCCTCTTTGGTTTTGGTAACCCTGACAGCAGCCCTCTACAGTATATTATAGTTACAGACACTGTCTTCAATCTACACTCCTTTCCAGAGTGATTTATCAATGGGAAATGATCCAGGAACATGTCATGGTTCCAGCCTGAACAGTGAGCCCATGCTCCCTGCCTTTGGTACTAAACCTAGTATTGACCAAGAATGGAATCTAATGATTTCCTGTCCTCCCAGCTGACAGCCTTTACACTTTCTACACTTTTTAATGGAGTTAAAGGATGGCCTTTACACTTTTTGTGACCACGCATCTCACCACATGGCTGTTATGGATTATACAGTAACTTTTGAAGAGATGTTAAGATTAACATTTTTTACCATAACAAATTAGTTAAGTACAGAAATATTCCTTGTGAAATCCCCAAACACATTACTTGAAAATAAAAGCAGAGAATTTTGCACTAGTTCAGGAATTCACACTCTTTTCCTACCCCCTCCTCTCCCTGGTGACCCTTTCTGGTTCTCTCTTCTGCTCTCCTCACCGGCTTGTTTCTTTGCTATAACATTTTATATTGTAGATACCTTGTATTCTGCTGTATTTGAACTAAAATCCTAAATGTAAATGTGATATTAAGTGGGCCTCATGTTTTATCTTTTTCCAGAAAATTGGAGGCAAGATGTTGACTTTGAAATATCTTTCATTGGGAGTCCTGGTGTTTCAGACCACCACTCTGGTATTGACTATGCGTTATTCACGTACCTTAAAGGAAGAAGGGCCCCGTTATCTAGCCTCAACTGCTGTGGTCATTGCTGAGATAATGAAGATTGCAACATGCATTTTATTAGTCTATAAAGATTCTGGTATGTTCAATATGTGCATAAAATTACAACACCTTTTTGGGATATTTTTTATAAATCAGATGGAACACTGGAACGTTAATAATAATAATAATAATAATAATAATCCTTGCATTTGATCTCGTATGAATGTTGTGTCAAAGCCTGATAGTCTCACATGTGCAAAATGTTACGAGGAATTGAAGTTTGTAATCTCTGAAACGTAACAGCAATAACTTGCACTTAAATGGTGCTTTTCACATAGAATGATATTTACAACAACAACACTTTCCATTTATGTGGTGCTCTTCATGCATGTATAGCATATGGAGCTAAACTTGGAGTTAAAGATCCCATGGCATTATTTGAAAAAAAAGAGAATTTCTCCTGGAGTCTTGAACAACAATTTCCTAAGTAAAATTGGTCATTCACTTAATGGTTGTTTGGGGGACACTGTTGAATGCAAATTAGCTGAAGCGTTTGCCTACAAATACATAGTCACTACAATGTTCACAGTAAAATCCTGTAAAGGGCTTTGAGACTTTTCGACAATGTACTCAGGCACTATACTAAATGCAAAGATTATTATTGTTACTTATAGGAGGAGCTTAAGGTAGAATTATGGATGTTGACCAAAAGCACAGTTGAAAAGATATGATTTTTGGTGAGTTAATGGAGGGCGAGAAGAAGCAAGCTGAAAAGTTTTCAGAAGAGTTTCAAAGGGTAGAGATGTAGTGCCTGAAAGCTCGGCCATCAATGATAGTTCAGATGGAGTGAGGAATTAGCAGTGAACATCCACTAAACTGAAGGTATCTTGTTTATTTAGTTCTCAGTAGTACCTCCTCACCTTTGGCTTTGATTCGTATTAATATCTCTTGCTGCTTGCTCTGGCTCATCGAGACAGTGAGAAGAGTAGTGGAGAGATTTTGAAACAACAAACCTATGAATATGACAATTACTGGCAGGGTGATCATTTTTAAACAGATTGTTCATTTGTATGATGATGCTACTTTTCTTTGTTTGTCTTAGGTTATAGTTTTCGAACACTAAATAGAGTGTTACAAGAAGAAATCTTCAACAAACCAATGGACACATTAAAACTTGCCATTCCTTCTGGAATTTACACTCTTCAAAATAACCTCCTTTATGTCGCTTTGTCAAATTTAGATGCTGCAACATATCAGGTAGAGTATTAATAATAAGAAGAATATTGCCCTTTTTCAGTGTTATTTTTCAAATCTTTTCTTTAGATCCCTTGTCACTATTTTGGGGTCCTTTTCAATCAGTTGAGGGGTGAGAAGCAGGTGTCCCTGTAGCATGGACTCGTCACTGCCTGTGGGCTATTGTGTCTTGTGTTCATTACTGCAGCGTATGACCTCTTTGATCTGTCTGCTGTTTCCTATCATTCTACTGCAGCTGCTGGTCTGACTGACACAGTGGGAAATCTTGCTTAGTATGAGGCTGGGGTGCCTCTCCAATGTTTTGCTCCAATGTATTCATTATTGCATTGCTGCAGTGCAGTGCATGGTGGAGTGATCTCTCGTCCAATGTCTTTTTTTTCTTCCCCCCTCCCTCACTCATGCCCTGGATTGTTTTTAATGTCCCAATTCTATCTTCGGTCCCACGTTTTGTGTAGTTCATGGAAGTGTACAATTGGATGGCTTGAATAATACAGCGTAGATCAATGCCATGAAGTTGTTCAGCTATCACTGTGGTTCATGGGCTTCCCTGGTTATTACCAATGCTGTCTTGCATGGTATCCTACTGCCAAGGCTGGCTCCCAGGCAGCTTTGGTATAATAATGTAATAATCGTTGCATTTGATATAGCGCTTTTCACGTCTTCTCGAAGTCTCAAAGCGCTTTGCAGAATAGACTATAAAGTGAATTGACCGTATATTTGTGGGCGAAATGCGGCAGCCAATTGCGCACAGCAGTGCCCCACAAATAGTCGTGGATTGAAAATGACCAATTTATTATTGGTTTGTTTTGGAGGAATTATTATTAGGTGTGTGGAGTAAGGAAACTGGCCCAACGTTTCGCCCTCTGCCTGGAATTGAACCCAGGTGTCTCGCTTGCAAGGTGAATGCTCTAACTACTGAGCTACAGGACTCCTGGTTTTCTGAGTGAAAGCTTTCAACAGCTTAGATGCCTAAGTGCCTAAATTTGGCACAATCCACCAGTGTAGTTCCGTTTAATATGATCAACCTTTGTAATTAACTCATCCTGCCTCAGCAGTAGCACTTGCCTCTGAGTCAGAAGGTTGTGGGTTCAAGTCCCATGTCTAGAATCGCATCGCCTAAAGTGATACTCCAGTGCAGTGCTGCATTGTTGGAGGTGTCGTCCTTCGGATGGGATGTTAAAACTGAGGTCCTGTCAGCGTGGATGTTAAAGATTCCATGATGCTATTCAAAAACAAAAGGGAGTTTCTCCTGGTGTCCTGGCCAGGAATCCCCCAAATAAAATTGGTCACTCATATCATGGCTATTTTGGGACACTGCTGTGTGCAATTGGCTGTCTTGTTTTGCCCACAAAATACAGTCAATCCATTTTATAGTATATCCTGTGAAGTGCTTTGAGACATCTCAACGACTTGGTAACATGCAATATTAAATACAAACATTATTATTATAACAACAACTGTTACTAACTAAGTTCACCTCTGTTTTTGTCATGTTACATTGTTTAAACAGTCACTAAAAAAATTAGTGAGAAATGTTCACTGTGTTTTTTTTATATAGGTTACTTATCAGTTAAAGATTCTCACAACAGCCTTGTTTTCTGTGACAATGCTTGGAAAAAACCTGAGTGTTTATCAATGGTTCTCTCTCCTAACTTTAATGGCGGGTGTGGCTCTTGTTCAGGTATGTGCACGGTATTTCAAGGCTTTATTATGTAGGACTGTAACTCAATGTGAAAAGATTCAAATTTAGAAACTTCCTCAAACATTTAACAAGTGAAAATTCAAGTTTCAACACTGATATGACATCACCATCTGTCTTACATTTTGTTTTACATTTTCTTAGGTGGAAGAGTCACAATAAAATCTGGGAACCGTTCATTGAAACTCTTATCTGACAGTTATTGAGAATAAGTTGCCCTCAATTAAGGAGCACACTTATTTATTGTCAACTGCAGCCTATCTGAATACAGGTTCTTTTTCAGGGTGAGATGGGCAGGGAAATTCATGGAATGCTTCATCTTTGACATTTGTAGAAGAATTCCTGCTGCAGAACTTTTAGTTTCCTGTGAACTAGATCATGTTTGTAAAGCTACTGACTGGAATAGGAGTATTACCAGCCCATCTCAAGCCTCCCTTTCCTATCCAAGGTCTATAATAATGAGAGAGCCGTTGCCTCCCAGCTTCGCTCTTTCCTCTCCTCCCACTCCCTCCATGAAGCCCTACAATCGGGTTTCCATGTTCCTCAGGGCTCTGTCCTCGGTCCCCTCCTCTTCACCCTCTGCATGCTCCCCCTTGGTGACATCATCCGCAGACATGGGGTAAATTTCCACATGTATGCGGGTGACACCCAACTCCATCTCTCTGCCTCCACCCTCAACTCCAGGACTACTGGCATCCTGACCGACTACCTGTCCGACATCAAGTCCTGGATGAGGGATAACTTTCTCCAACTCAACGTCAGCAAGACCGAGGCCCTCCTGATTGGCTTGCGCAGCTCGGGCACTGGCAGCATCAGCATACACAGCTGCACACTCAACCTCACTAAGCCAGTCAGGAACCTGGCTGTCTTGTTTGACCCTGAACTGTCCTTTCTCCCCTATATCCGTGTCATGCACTGCCTACCAACACCTCTGCAACATTGCCAGACTCCGCCACTGTCTCACCAACTCAGGCTGCCGAAACCCTTATCCGTGCATTCGTCACATCACTCGATTATGGAAACTACCTCCTCATCGGCCTTCCCAACTCTTTCCTTCACATGCTGCAGATCATCCAGGCTCCATGATCCCATCACTCCCATCCTCGCCCGACTCCACTGCCTCTCCATCCCCCAGAGGATCGAGTTCAGGATCCTCGTCCTCACTTTCAAGGCCATCCATGGCCTTGCCCTCTGACCTGCTGACTCTACCAACCTGCCCGCTCCCTCCGTTCAGATCTCTCTCTACTCCTTTTAGGATCTTACTATCTGGAATATAGATGTATTATACATCCTACCACAGTGAAGTACTTCACATTTCTCTATATTTAAGCTTCATCTGCCAACTGTCTGCCTTCATATGCATTTGGATACATTTACTGCATTTCTTTCCTTTCAATTTCATTACTTTTGACCTATAGTTGGGATCATTAGATTGGCCACCTCTGCCCATTTTAAGATTTAAACATTTATTTGGTGGCTTTTTNAAACTTTCTTACTGCACAAGTCTGTGTCCTGTCTATTACAAAGAAAAGTGGATAACATTCTTCCTTTTAAAGAGCCTCTTGGCCTGTTCTGAATGTTTTGATATTAGTTGCCAATAGAGACCTGGAGCAGAATAGTGGGTTTTAATTTTGCAGATTAATTCGAGATGCAGACAGTCTACACTGAGAGGTTTCTACACATTAAACTCTCTGTTTTAGTGGCCAACAGACAGCGCGGAGCATTTGAAGAAGGAGCTCTCGGCAGGATCCCAGTTTGTGGGGCTTGTGTCTGTTCTCATTGCTTGTTTCTCTAGTGGCTTTGCTGGAGTATATTTTGAGAAAATTTTAAAAGGATCAAAGCAGTCTGTTTGGATTAGAAACATCCAATTAGGTGAGTAAAATAATCATTGGATTTAGATACTCCAATTGCAATTCTAAATCTAGTCTTGTATATGTACTACAATGGTATTTGGCAATTGCCTGGTTGTGAGAGGATTAACTGGGTGAATGTGTTGAAAAAAAGAGTCAAATAGTTCTTTTTCTTTTGATTAATCCAGTGTGCAATGCCGTGTGCAAGCTCATCAGCCGGTTTAGAGCATCCAAAGCAGACTGAATTCCACATCTGTATGTCACCTACGTGTGGAAATGTTCCTGTGCCTTGAATAGAATGTATACTCTCCATTTTTCAGCCTGCCTTGCCTGGCCATCACCACTCAGAAGGTTGGGGGTTGAATCCCTGGAATACTGTAGACCTCCCTGGCCCAGGAAATGAAATAGAGAGATCGCCACTGAGGATTGATTTGATTCCAATAATCCGTTGCCAGGCATGTCACCTCTAAGACAGCTAAGCCATTAAATGACTGCTTACTTTCTCCTCCTCCTCTTCCCCACCCTCCCCCAGGCGTAATCACTAGTTGGTTATTAGCCATCAGACAAGTGACTATTTAAGCTCTCACTTGGATATGAAGCCCTGGATATATGAGCATGTGTTCGCACACCTGGACTCGAGGTAACTCCAGCAGCTGTCGTTTCTGGCTTTACTTGTGAAGAACGTGATGTCTGCAGTGCTTGTGCATTGTATACATACATGCATGGTGCAGTGATATTTGCACGTATGCAGGAAGTAACTTTGCATGTCTGACAACCCAGCAGCTGGATATTTTTTCATGCTTGCTTACAAAGCAGGGCTTGAGATACTGAACCTAGATGACCACTTTAGAATGAACTCCACAGGCTGCAGATAATCCAGAACTCTGCAGTCCATGTCATCTCCCGCACCAAACTCCGTGACCCCATCTCCCCCATTCTCGCCCAACTCCTTTGGCTCCCTATCCTTCAGAGGATCCAGTTCAAGATCCTGGTCCTCATCTACAAAGCCCTCCATGGCCTCGCCCCACCCTACCTCTGCGACCTCCTAACCCCCTGCCTGTTCCCTCCGCTCAGCCGGCTCCAGCCTGCTCCACATCCCCCGACCCACTCTGCCCTAACCTTTGGAATTCCATCCCCCCAATCACTCCGCCTCGCCCCCTCCTTAGCCTTCTTCAAGTCCCACCTCAAGACCCTCCTCTTCGACCATGCCATCTGCCACCCTCCCTTCTCCTCCCCCCCCCCACCCTGACCCCAACTCGGGTCTTAAATGCTGTACACTGTCCAGTGCCTTGGGATGTCCTCAAATGTAATCTTGTTATTGTTGTTGGATATTATTTGAAACGAGAAGGGAGATTCTCCCGGTGTCCTTTCAATAAACTCCCCAAAATATCACCATCACAAACAATGTGTTGAGATTAAGTGATATTTTGGGGAATAAAATAGACCAATGGGGTCCACTGTAAATGGGATTTTATACTTTATTTTATTTTATACCTTGTTATGCAAGTGTTGGCTAACAATTTATTGTACAATGGAGATTAATGGTAAGAACTACTTATAGATACCACAATGTAAGTTTACAAAAAGGCCTACAATTGCATTGTTCTATGCGCTTTGTTTGGTTTTCATAGAACACAGGAAAGGTCTAAATTTGAGTTATGTGGGTTGCAGACTTCATCTGGTAGGAGCTTCAACTCTTTTGGATGTGAACGCTTCTCCAAAATCCAATAAACACCACCTCCAATAAACCTCACTGAAGTTCACTACATATGGCAACAGCCGGAATTGAGCTTGTGTTCTAAGAACTGGAATGTAAAGTTAAAAACAGAAAGTTGCTGGAGTGCAGTTTGCTCATCAGTGTATGAAGAATTAAGATTAGTCAATTTTGCTGTGATTTACTTTTTTTTAAAAGGAACCAGTATTTGGCAACAAAACATAAATGTTATCTTTTAGTATGAATTTTAAGAAATCAAACAACCGTGATGGTGTCCATTTATAAACTTTCTCGTATTGAAAAATTGTTTCATGTGAAACAAATATGTACTTCATTTACAAAATAATGCTGTTCAACTTTGTTTTTGTAGTTTAAAATTAAGCACTTAATTGTTGCAGGTTGCTTAGATTGGCCTGAACTTCCATATTATTACAATAGTCCTTGCATTTGGTATAGCGCCTTTCATGTTTTCTAGGCTTCCCTTGCCTCCTTCAAAAACCTTCCTCTTTGACTGCGACTTAAGTCATCTTCTTTCTCTTAACCTTCCTGAATCCAACCCCCAGCTTGGGTACAAATCCTAGATTTTCCAGCTCTTTGGGATGTCTTCTCGACGTGAAAGGCATTAGATAAATGTGATTTGTTGTTGTTCATGTAATGTGTTTAGAAGTTAATTGGCTGAAATAATTTGTAGACTAAAATGTGCTTTATTCGTATATTGGATGTTGAAATGCTTTTTGTCTCCTTTAGGTTTGTTTGGTAGTATTTTTGGAATGATGGGTGTGTACGTATATGATGGGGAGCGAGTAAAAGAAGATGGAATTTTCCAGGGTTACAACAACCTCACGTGGATTGTAGTACTTCTACAGGTAGGACTTTAAGCACCCTGAGACCCTACCCTGAGGGAAGGGCACATATTGTTCATAGGGCATTGCTGTATGCAATTGGCTGCCATGTTCATGCACAAGGTACACAGTTGCTACACTTTACAGTGAATCTGTGAAGCACTTTGAGACTTCCTCCTGATGTGAAAGGTGCTTTACTGAATGCAAGTAGTATTATCGTGTTCTGGGAATTTTATTTTTGGCCATCTCATAGCATTACATATAATTCATAACATCGAAACAGGCTCATTCAGAGCAACTAGTCCATGTTGGTGTTCATATTCTATATAAACACCAATTTAATCTATCCTAATCTCTAGCTTTGCCCCTTCCTCCCATTCCCTTTTCACTCATGTATCTCAATGGTAAAACTTCTCAGAAATTGCAAAATACTCAAGTATTGGACAATAGTATATGGAAGAGGATTACAGGAATCACTTTTAACTGAGTTGCTTTGTAATGTCATTTCTTTATAATATCCTTATTTTGAACAATTTCTTTTTAACCAGGCTCTGGGAGGTCTAGTAATAGCAGCTGTCATCAAATATGCAGACAACATTTTGAAAGGATTCGCCACATCAGTATCTATTATTCTTTCAACATTGATCTCATACTTTTGGCTGCAGGATTTCATGCCAACCAGGTACTGAGAATGATGGAAGTTGATTGTGTTCATTTCTTTGTCTTGTTTTGCCCCCGGAGTCTATCTTATCTTGCCAAACTTAGAAGCCTGTTGAATGCTGAGAAAGATTGCAGGCTTTTAATTGTTATACTGCAGAGGTTTGAAGGACTTCTTTAGTAATAGTTACTCAGTTTGGTTTTCTAAATCTTCATCTATCTTACACAGGGTTTATATTGTCAGAGGCTGAGTTAATTTGCTCCCAGCAGAATGGCAGTTGGAAAGGGAATTGACACTGGGTTGAAACGCTTTGGGAAGTATACTGGGCCCGCTCATGTTCGTGTAAATTATCTGGATTGAAGACACGGCGCAAGCCAGTTAAATTGACAGTTAACCACGGATATTCAGTCAGTGCAGGAAGCTAAGGTATCCCAAGGAGCTTGACAGGGTAGGCATCTTGGATATTCAAAATGAAGTTCCAATAAACACAATGTACTAAACGCAATGCATCAATCTGATGTAACCCCATTTATGGACCTGAGCGCCAGTGCTAATCTTGAGCTCATCCATTGCAGTTCAGTGCTGCAGTGTTATGAGCCCTCTCATTTGCATTCAATAGAGGCTTGTCTGCCTATTCAGGTGGATGTTAAAGATCCTCTGGCACTATTTGAAGAGAAGGACGTTTCGCACAGTGTCCTGGCCAACACTGTTTCAGATTATTTAATCGTTCACCTCATAGTTGCTTATGGAACCTTACTGTGTGGAAAATGACATTTCATAATAATTACCATAAAGTGTTTTTAAACATTTTGACTTCTAAAACACGACAAAAAGTGTTCAGTAAACCCCTCGGCTTACCGGAATTTATACCTAGCCGGACTGGGCTTAAAACTGAAAAATGGAAGATTTTTGCAGGCTCACAAGCGTGTAGACTCCCGCTGGCTGAACTCCTAGCCTCACCATCCTGGCTGGCCTTCAGAGGTCAGAGCTGTCGACTTTGTCTCAGTTTGACCTGCTTTGTAAATTGTATTGTAAATTGAACGCTTGGAGTATGGACAGCCTCACTGGGGACCGGGAAATGTTGATGAAGCCTGACTGAGCTTCCCCCTTCTCCAGGAATCATATGTGGAACATGCTCAGACTCTCAGGGTGGCAGGTACATGATCATGTGAGAAGAAAAGTATTCTCAGGCTATTTGTGGTTGTGCTTAGTATTGGAACCTGCTTCATTGAAAGTTTGTTAACAAGTGAATTTAGGAGTAACTATGTCAAGCAGAAGATGGCTTATTCACTATCTTCTGTGGGTTTTAGTGTATATTCCTTCTTAAAAATTAGGCACCCTGCTCCGTGGTTTGGGATGGAATTTGCTAAGGGGAAAGTTGAAACCTAAAGAGGTTAGATGGTTTGTTCAAACTGTGTGAAACACGAGGTCAAAACTTAAAACCTTTGATTTACATTAGTATGTAAACGATTGGAGAATTAATATTGCTTAAATTAACTAAGAAATTGTTAATCAGTATGAGATAGCGGCTAGGGGAATCTAAAACAGAATTTAGGAACAACTACGTCACTCAGAGGGGAGTGAGATTAGGGAACTTGCTGCTTAAAGCAGTGGTTGAATCAGGTAATATAGTTATTATAAATATATAAAGGTAATATAGTATGGAGTCCTGTAGCTCAGTGGTTAGGGCACTCGCTTTGTAAGCGAGAGACCTGGGTTCGATTCCCGCAGGGTGAAACCTTGGGCAAGACTCTTGGAGTATAAATGGACTGGTTGAGCCAACTGACCTGTACAGCGAAGAATGCTGTACATTCTTTGTAAATAAATTGGTCATTCTCAATCCACGACTGTTTGTGGGACACTGCTGTGCGCAATTGGCTGCTGCGTTTCGCCCACAAATATACGGTCAATTCACTTTACAGCATATTCTGTGAAGCACTTTGAGACTTCTAGAAGACGTGAAAAGCGCTATATCAAATGCAAGGATTATTATTATTATCATAAATCATGGTTTTTGTAGTAATTGTTGCTGCTAATTCTGTTTTATTTCAGTGTCTTTTTCTTTGGTGCATTACTGGTGATAACTGCAACATTCCTGTATGGATATGAGCCGAAGCCCACATCCAATCCAAGCAAAGCATGAAGTCATGATCACCAGCACTTCTTTTTGTGGGGTTAAAACCCGCAGAACAATGAAACTGCAAGCTGCTACCTGGAGATACTTCAAGGTTACAGACAATAGAACATGTTTTGTTAAAGGACAAAATATTTACTTTTAAGTTATCAAAAGTGAGGAATTTAATGTAATTTCATAGGATCAGGGTGGTATTCCAATAACTTGTGAAATACCAGAGGTGTAGAAAGATAAGTGGTACAAAATAATCTTGCTGTTTTAACTTTGGTACAATGTAAAGTCAGAAAGGGTTCAGCAATCAACAAGGTTTAATTTTCTTTCTTCTCTCATCCCACAAATTGAACAAATGTTAAACTGTTCACATTTTGTGCCTGAGATCCCTTTGATCAAAGGTGCAAACGTTTAGCCTAAAATTCAGGAGAATTGTAATTCTGATTATTTGTATAATTGCATAAAGATCTTCTTGCTTGTTCCTGCATTTTCTGTGCAGGTTTCCACCTGGTTGAGGTGCTCCTGAGCATAGCACATCTCAGTCCATGAGCAATCCAACTTTATCTTCACCAAATAATTATTTTTCATGTTGATATTTAATGTCAGTTGAGGTTAGTTACCAACAGTGACTTTGACCCAAACACCATTGAGTTTTGTTCTTTAAATGACTGTTTTTAAAAAGAACAATTTATATTTTAAGTTTTATCTGCTTTCCACACTTGTGAAAGATAAACCTGGTAGTCATGTTAACAAGCAGGTGAAGGGATGACAATCCTCATATCTATTGGCACTGAAACATTTAAAAACACTTGTGCAAGTTTCCATTTAATACTACAAGAGAAATTCCCTCCAGTGCATGTTTCTTCATTTTGTATTAATATTGGTTATTCATAAAATCTAACCACTGAGGTTAATGTATTAATTTGATCATTGTGTTTCAATTAAGGAATCCATTGTCAGAATTCTAAACACTTTATGGCAGGAACTTCCTCCCAATTACCTTTCAGTAGGAGAGACTAAGTGAAGGTGGTGTATGTGCGATGGAGGATTTGTGGTGGGATAAATATAAACAGAAACCAGGTGCTTTCTCACAGTCTGGTATATTATCCTGGATTGCTCTTCTGATCCTCCTCATAACCAGTAACAAAGCAACCATGTCTCAACCTCGTGCTACTCCCTGGCCTCTGCTCATTGTGGCTGTGATGGTAACTCTCCACATGGAACATTGCTGGTGTAAACCAGGCTTCTTAGCACTGAACTTCAAGTCATCAGGCAGCCATATTTTATATATTTAAAGATTTTTAAAAAATTGGCTTGCTAGTGGCTCATTTAGCAAAGCCACTGAAAATACGCCACACAGTCCAGAAAGGAACAAAACTGTGGAAAGTTTTTATGAAACTCTGCAAGACATTATTCTACATGAAGAGCACCTTACTCTCACCTCTCCTGGAAAGTGCGCAAACCACTCGGTTAATTATAGTGATTATCACGTTAAAAAAAACCTCAAAGCACTTTACAATATGAGATTAATTAGAAATGAATGAATTGTTATGGAGGCAAGTAGTAAAATGTGCCAGCAATGTCTGACAACTACTTAATTAGTTGTAGCCAATTGGGATGAGTATTGAAAGGTTTACTAAGAATATACAGTCCATGCCAGTGTTTATACTCCACATGAGTCTCTGCCCAATCCTATTCTCCCTCCCACACCCTTCTATTCCCCTCTACCTCAAAATCTAGCTTCCTCTTGAATGCATCTATACTATCTGATTCAACTTCTGCTTCAGGCAGTGAATTCCGTCATCCCATTATCCTCTGTGATAAGTAATTCCTCCTAAATTCTCTTTTGGATTCCCCTGTCGCTATCTTATACTTGTGTTCCCTGGTTACGGAATTTGCAACCAATGGAAATAGCCTGTTTATGCTAACTTAATCAAACCTTTTTATAATTTTAAATATCTACCTATCCTGATAGCAGTAACGTGCTAGCTTTGCTATCAAGCTAGTAAATCTATGCTGTACTCTTTCCATTGCTACTTTTTACTTATAGTGTGAAGACCAGAATTGGATCCATTATTCCATATGTCATCTAACAAAGGTTTTGCACAAATTCAACAAAACCTCTTCACTTTTATATTTTATCCCTCTGGACACAGAGCCTCAAACCCCAATGGCTTTTTTATAGCCTTATCTATAATTGAATTTGGGGGGGGGGTGAATAATGATTGGGATCAACTGATGTTCCCTTCCTTTGCTGGCACTCGCTTTCTGACCTTACACATGAAGAGGGGCAACTTGGGCAACGTTACAAAGTGCTGCTGTCAGAATGAACCAGCATTTTTAGGAAAAGGGGGAAAGGAATGTAATTAATTGAAATTAAAACAGCTGACAGGGAAATGTTTGTGATTGTTGAGGAACATTTTACTTCATTCCACAGCTCCAACGGTAAATTCTCCTTCTGGCATAATATTGAATTATATCAAACTAAGAAGGTGTTTATACGATTTCTCGGTATGGAAGAGGAAGCTGCCATATTTGGATATAGTGCTCCCGGGCTGGGAAAGAGAAAACTTGTTCATGATTTTCTCTTCTTGACTGTGCTTGATAGAACATTTATCTCAATTGAAAATTAGATTTACCTCAACTGTGCTGCTGGTGTAGTCAAGTCGGTAGTATTTATGCCCAGGTTCCCATGTGAAGAGTGGCCACTTGAGTAAAATGAGGGGCCTGCTTTCTGGGGAAATTGGAGTTGGGAGAGAAAACTGAACGGGATACAATTTATTACAATAAAAAGAATAGTAAGCTATGTAGAACTGTCCTGACTTTTCTTCTGTATTTAATAATGTAGCTTAGTATTGCCCAGCCCTAGGGTTACTTAATTTTTAAAATATTTTCTGAGAATTGATTCATTTCAAATAGGAGCCTTGTTCTAGTGTGTACACCAGAACAATTTACCATTTTGTGTTTTTCAAATAAAATTTGCCAGATTGACCTAAATAAGACAGAATAACTTGATTGTGTTTTAATATAGGGAAATATAGTAACTGATTTTTGGTTATGTTGTGTTCTAATCTTTAAAATAATTCATTATTTGCACTGTGCAACCTATTCATTTATGAGTAAATGCATCCAGGTTTTCTGTAGAAGATGTTATTTAAAAATGCAAAGTTCAGCAGCAAAAAACTTTGCCCAAAACTCCGTTACCTTTCCCTCTGTTCAGTTTGAAATGAGAAACAAAAGAAGCGGGCAGAGGGTCCACTTAGATAAGGTGAGGAGGAAAAGCTGCACATAACGTCAGGTGGAAAGTTAGCCATATGGGACCATATCAAATCAGTGGCATTTCTGATGTGCAGGTTCTTTGAGACCCTCCAATACAGGCATCTTCATTCATTGGTATCTTTTGGTATTTTGAGATTTTATAGAATTTCTGTTATATTCTTGTGCATAAGTGATTACCTTTCAAATTGCATAGTTTTCAAGATGTCTTCTATTTCTGTTGTGCTTTGTTCAGCTATGTCCCTAGCTGCGGACTAGACTCCCAACAAATTGTCTCTGGAAATTTATGCTACCTTCCGTGATACAAACTGCAATTGTAATGTTTGCATCTCCCACTGTTGAATGTTTATAAACCTCTTATATTAATTTATCTGAAGGTAAAAATGCCGTCCTCTTGCCTCAGGCAGCAGATCATGAAACATACTGTATTTATGTATTGAGGACTATTCCAGCACCTTTCTCAATCCAACATTTTTTCCTGTTCTGACGCATTTTTTCAATAGAAACAATGTTGTTTCTTTCTACAAAATGGTCCAGTAACAAAAATATATTTTTTGAATATTTTCTCTTTTTNAAAAATCACAACTGTCAATATATTACATAATTATGCAGAATATAAATTTGTAGGGTGTTGGTTGGGTGTATCTCAGGCATCAATATTTACTGTTACTTGGATGAATTTGATGACAATATTAATATAAACTCAGGTTTCACTTGGTATGTGTGGGTTTCCAATAGTAAAACCAATGTTATCACCAAGGTTGAGAATTTTTAATATTAGTTTCTAATGATTAAGTTTTTAATATATGATTGAATTGTACATGCAGAATAAGTGGTATCCACAGATGTACTGTTAGATACAGTACTTAAATAAAAGAGATATTTCATAGCAACAAGTGTAGTAGCTACTTGTCAGTGTCGCATTGGGACCTGAAATTATTGTATAATGTACATAAATGCAGAAGCTTGTGGAGAAAAGGAACATTAAAGCTACTGTTTGTGAGACATCACCTTAACATAGGCAATTCAATATAGACACCAAAGAGGTGTGTTGGGAATTCATACTACTCAGATCTGAATTGTCAGACATTGCACGTTGGTTGGAAAATATAAGTAATTAATTATTAACCTGAGCGGGGTGAACTGATTGGGATTCAAAACACATTACTGAAGGTTTCAAGCACAAAGCAAAATTATCTTTCATTTGGTTTTACAGTGCAATATTTTAGCTATATTATTTTGTTAACAACAATCCTTTCCTCCTAAGATTAATTATTCGTCATTAAATTTAGCCACCAAAATTGTTGGGAGTCACATTTGTTAATTGTGGTAATTTTTATACCAATTTTGTTCCAAAAAGCATTTATTGCATCTTATGTCTATGTAAATTAGAAACTGATAGATTAATAATTGCCAGTATATAAATGATCCAACTATAATTTTTTAATAAAATTGATTGACAAGGGTCCTCCAGGTGGGTCAGCGGGTAATGGGTTTCTTGTTAATCAAAATATTCCAAACAACATTGATTAATATCAAGTAATGTAATTAAAATATTCCAGTTATCCATAAGATAATTCTTTATCAATAGACAAGGTTTACGATTTGAACAATCTACATGAAAAAATAAGATTTCTATTATTTGAAAAAAAAGTTTCTGCAACAACGTGCCATATTTACATGGATTTTTCAGAATCCTTGTTTAATCTTGGAATTTGAATGGTAATTGTGTTATATACAACTGTATGGATGCTACTGAAAAAAATAACTCAGTAGGATTCGCTACAGTGAAACTAATGTAGATAATTACAAAATTGCTAGGCAATCCTTTTTACAAGGTAAATTTGGAAGGTTAGTAAATCTCTCCCACAATCTGCTCATGACTAACTATTTCAGCCTCTGTCTTGCAACAACAATAAGATTACATTTGTATAGCGCCTTTCACGTCGGGAGGACGTCCCAGGGCGCTGGACAGTGTACAGCATTTCAGACCCTAGCTGCGGTTGGGGGGAGAAGGGAGGGGGTAGGGAAAGGGTGTGGCCGATGGTCGAAGAGGAGGGTTTTGAGGCGGGACTTGAAGGAGGGGCGAGGCGGAGTGACTGGGGGATGGAATTCCAGAGGTTGGGGGCAGAGTGGCTGAAAGCTCTCCCGCCAATGGTGGGGCGGGTGGGTCGGGAGATGTGGAGCAGCCAGAGTCGGCTGAGCGGAGGGAACGGGCAGGTTGGTAGGGGGGTTAGGAGGTCACAGAGTAGGGTGGGGCGAGGCCATGAAGGGCTTTGTAGGTGAGGACCAGGATCTTGAACTGGATCCTCTGAAGGATAGGGAGCAAGTAGAGTTGGGGGAGATGGGGTCATGGAATTTGGTGCAGGAGAGGACACAGGCTGCAGCGTTCTGGATTATCTGCAGCCTGTGGAGGGAGGAGTTGGGTGAGGCGGACAAATGCCTTGCACAAATTTAACATTTGTTCCATTGCTCTTTAATTGTTTGGCACTATATATAAAATGCAGAATTCCATTTGTTTTTTATGACCTTGACCCTCAACTTTTTTTTAAGAGACTTGTGTATCTATTCCTTGGTCTTGCTGCTCAGCTCTTGTTAATATTATCTAGTATTTTTCTTTCTTTGTTCGTCCTCCCAAAATGTACTGCAGATTTCTAAACATTTAATTCCATTTGCCATCTCTCTGCCCATTCTGCTAAACCAATCAACCTCATAAAATCGTAGGCTATTGCCAATGGAACCACGACATCTGGTCAATCAAGTCTGATGATTTCTTTCCTTCACGTGAGCCACGCTGTCTAATCCCACTTTTTTTTTTTTTGGTCAGCTGGGTGTCTGATACATGCGGAAATCCATCAGTGCTTAACCAAACTGAAAATTCCATGCATCCCACCTACAAATGGAAATTCCAGAGATAGATGGAATGCGCACTCTCTCACCAGAGGGATGCATCCTGCTTATCTAATTCTGGAGTGGTTAGCAAAAACCAATGCTTGGGGACCCCAGAGTGGCCACTTTGTGTAATTCCTATTGAAAAGAATTAAACAGAAATGCCGGTATGAACAGTGAGGCCTAATTATTTTAATTTTCATAAAATAACAAAAGAGTTTTATATTGTAAAGTACAGTCCAGAAACTGTAAACATGCATCTTACCACACAAGGGTCATGTCCTTTCTATTTTGTTTTAGATACTAAACAACCTTTGCCTTCATTTATCCAATTGTAAGCTATCTTTTGATAGTCTTTTATACAAATGTGTGCTCCAAAAATCAGACTCTTTTATACTCCGCCCTTCACTATCGAACATTAAAATGTTGTAATATGTATTTCATGCTTACAGGAGCAGTAATGGTTGGTGATCAATGGGAATTTCTTAAATTGTATTGTGTATAATCCATATCCTGTGACTATTAAAAAAATATTTTCTATGGATCAGTTTCATTTCCATTCACGAGGAAAATTAGTTTACAAACTAACTTTCGCTATACATCAATATAAATCCGAAAGCACAAATATTACTAGAATTCTGAACCTTAGTTGAATTTTGCCAATGTCATACTATGTGAAATTGCTTCCTAGATAGAAATGCTATACTTGTAGGTTGGTGCAAAGTGCCAAGTAAGAATGTATTTTCAAAGCTAGTAATGTTTAATCCAAGATCATGTGCATATTTGGCAAATCGTGAATAAAGTTCCCTGCTGTGCAAGGACTTTTTGGAATATTTATGTAAGATACAGGTTGTTAATGTAAAATAAAATTGTCAACGAGCACATTTTCTGGTATTTTAATCTTTTGGGGAAGAGGAAGGGATGTTCGATAAAGAAAAAAATTGAACAGAAACACCAGCGTGAACAGTGAAACACCAGCCTTGACCTGAGCCCCAATTATTTTCTTTTTCAGAAATATAAACCCTAAACGGGTCCCACCCAAAGTGTTCACGTTGACAGAAATTGGATTTCATCCTGAATGTGAAATATGCATTATTTAAATACTAGATTAAAAAAANCTATGTTGGAAATCTGAATTAAAAAGCAAAGTAATGCAACATCCCAAACCTTTAACCTATTCACTTTCGGATGCTGGTTGATCTGTGCATTTCACATGTGGGTAGCCTGGATCCTATAAATTCATTCAATGTAACACTGCAAGAAGGGGTTGGAGGGAAAAACTGAAATTTGTTTGTTTGGTTGATGATAATAGTCCTTGTATTTTGTGGATGAACATCTGGGGTCAGTAACAAGATAAAATTAGCAAAAGCTTGGAAAAGCAAGAGTTAATTAGGGTACAGATTTATAAAAGACTTGATTTTTTGGGGGAGGAAATAATTGTGCAGATAAAAAACATCTGATGAGGTGCCACTTAAAAAGCTTGTTTCAAACATTAAGACGTCTATTTTGAAAGGGAATGTGGCAAAGAGGGGAGAAAAAGATGGTTGAAGTATGGAAAACGAACAATGTTTTTCAGACTAGTGGAATGTATACAAATGTAATTTTGTTGTTGCTGCAGTCAGCCACATATCCCACGTTGTAAGCTGCGGCTTTTGTTTCACATTTGGACAAAAATTATTATTATTCGCCCACAAATTATTTGCCCACAAATATACAGTCAGCTCACTTTACGTGTGTTCTGTGGAGCGCTTTGGGACGTCCTCCCGACGTGGAAAGCGCTATATCAAATGCGAGGATTATTATTATTATTATAAAATAACATACACATTTATATAGTTTTTCAAGCAGGGAGGACCTCTCGAACCGCCGGCTGTGCAGGCGAGCGAGGGGCGGGGGCCAAAACAGGGTGGGAGGGAAAGGTGACTGAGGGAAAGCGCTCTGGGTCGCTATCCTGCGTGAGGGGGCGCTATATAAATGCAAATTGTTGTTGACGTGGGGGAGGTATGGACCAGGATGGTGGGTCTGGTGTTTGCAGGAGGAGCTGCCGGTAGGCGGCGCTGCAGCTGCAGTGTCGGCGCATGCTCAGCACCGAGTGAGCCGAGGTAACGCCGGGTGATAATCACGTGATCCTGACGGACCAATGGAATTCGTGCCGCGCGCGCGGTCGCCATGGCAGCGGTGAGGGCGGGGCCCGGCCGCCGGGCGGGAGCGCGCTGCGCTGTGTGGGCGGCGGGAGCGCGCCGGGCGAGAGCGCGTTGGTTGAGCGTCGGGGCTGCGCGATGCCGCCATGATTGAGGCCAAGAAGAAGAAGCGGGTTCACCGGAGCCTGATGTTGGCCAAGAAAATCATCATTAAAGACGGCGGGACGGTGAGTGCGGGGGCGGCGGTGAGCGGTGGGGGGGGCGGGGGAGCCGAGCAGCGACGGCGACTCCAGCCGGAGCTGCCTCGGCCCGGCCTCGGGTCCCGGGCTCCCGGCTCAGCCCTCACGGCGGCGGGGCCTCAGGCGGCTCCGTTGGGCCACAAGTTGCCGCGGTTCAGTGACAGCTTCAAGTTTCGGCGCGATCTGCGATCCCTGTGGGTTTTTCCGGATCGCTGTTGTTTAATTCGGCGCACATGTGGGGAACGTTAGTGATGTGGGAATCGGAAGTGTTTAACGCTGCTCTTGCGGTGTGTCTGAGGCCGACCCGAGCAGAGGGCTGGGGAGAGGGATCGTTAACTGAAAGGAAGTGGGGAAGCTTCGACATGAAGAGGAAGGTGTCAGGTCAGAGCAGAGGAGGTGAAGGCGGGTGTGTGTGGGGGACCAACCCAAGAGTGGAACTGTTCGAAACTGAAGATGACGACTGTTTTGTTAATGTGGGACTTGTTTTCGCTTCCAATTCCAGTGTGTGTGTGTGTGTGTGTGTTTTTTTTCGTGTCGGGGAGTGTCTTGACGCGGGCGGAAACCCATCACCGCGCGGAAGAGCATCCAAACCGAGCTTGAGGATTTCACGTGTCCCGCGTGCACGCGGGATTTCCGGAAATATTTATCGTAAGGGAATGCGTACGCTCTCCCTGGAGGGGCGCATCCTGTTTGCCTAATCGCGGAGAGTACTGGGCCCAGGTTGGCAGGAGCCGAGGCTTGGGGACTCCACAGAGCCTATCAGTCTGGCGCGTTTGCCTCCGAGTTAAAAGATTGTCGGTTCAAGCCCCACGTGAGGACCTGGACTCGCAGAGTCTCAGCTGACGGCACCTCTGACAGTTGGTCCCAACCTTTGTGGTTAATTTCCTCTACAGCAGCGATTTTCATTTCAATAGGTGCCTTTCATGTCATGAAGATGTCCCAAAGTGCTTCACACAGGTGACTGAGAGTCGAAACTGGAGGTGGGGCTACGAAGCAAGGTCGCAAAGATAGATCTTAAAGTGGGTTTTGAAGTTGGAGAGAGTGCGGGCAAAAGGATTTCAGAGGTTTGGGGGTTTAGATGTAATTTTCAATTGCTATGTCGAGTGTTTGTTTTAATCTAGCCCCAAGGAATCGGTGCACCGAGTGTTTACCATGCGGTGATCGTAATCTTTCTGGAGTTTTTTGCTTGGGGTCTGCTAACTGCACCGACCCTGGGGGTAAGTTCTTAATGCACTGTTCATAACTAAAATGACTTGATGAAACCTAACTGAAGATTGCTAAACTTTTTCAATTTGTTGATCAGACTTATCCATATCAGGTCAGTTCTATTGTAATGGGAAACGATGAGTAATCTTTTTAACCGATTAGCCATTTTGCTTTTGAGGCATTGGAAAGCCATTGCCAGCTGCCAGCACCAACCTCCCCACTGGAACAATCTACTTCACTCTTTCTCCTCTGCTGTTTCTTCAAACTATTTAATTTTAGTTTTGAAATCCAGTCCAGGCCCATTATAATACACTTCATTATTGAGCTGTTTTACAATGCAATTTACATTTATATAACACCTTTCACGTCTGAAGGACATTTCAAAGTCCTGTAGAGTATTGGTTAGAGCACTCGCCTCGCAACAAAAGGACCCGCGCTTGATTCCCGAGCAGGGTGAAACCTTAGGCAAATTTTCTTACTTCATACACCTCTGTTTACCTTGCAGTAATTAGGAACCTGGTTTGTTAGTCAATTGGTGGATTGTTTTCCAGGGGTAATAATCCCTTTAAAACCCACCCAATAATTTGGTCATTCAATACTTGACTATTTGTGGGACACTGTTGTGCACAATTGGTTGCCATGTTTCGCCCACAAAATATACAGGCAATTCACTTTACAGTATATTATGTGAAGGAGTTTGAGATGTCTCAACGACATGCATCAAATGCAAGGATTATGACCAAAAATGTGGACAAATAGCATAGGCCTTCTGGAAGTGATGTCAGCAGCGACCTGATGCCTTAGAAATTGTCCATGTTTAATATGAAAACTGACCTGCTTTCTTCCCACGTCGCAGAGATGTCATAGGTCCTGTGATTAGTGACATTACTATGCATAAGTGTGACTTGCAGTACAATTTGAGATTTTATGAACCTCAACTACCACATTATTAAGGGGCCACATCATATTTATTTAAATTTCTTTCCAGGTTGGGAAATGGCAGTTAGGGTGGGGAGTGGAGGGAAATGAAGGCCATAGAGGAGTTTTTCACTGGGGAAAGAGGAAGCTTGCTGTAAGGAAACAGCACGGCCCGGCGCTTGGTGTCTGTCCTTGGTTTCCTCTTCCATGATGGCCGAGGGAGGTTCCGATCATTTGTACTTTCATTAAACCACAATACGCTGCTCTCACTTCCCCCATCTCTCTGCTTTCTCTCATACATTCATATATTATAAAGTCCTGATGTGGGAGGGGAGATTAAATGATTACTATATCAAACATTCTAATATTGCTTTTCTGATATTTCTAGGTTTTGCATGAGACCTTTCCCAAGCACACATTTTTGATGAATGGCTTAATTCAGGGAGTGAAAGTAAGTACAAGATTGATGCAATGTATTTTTTATAAAGTGTTAATGCCATAAACCAGTGACATTTATATGTTCATTTATATTGAAATGTTTAACCTTTAGCTAATGCAAGTAAAAAGTCTTGTTATTAATATGAAAATTAAAATAATTCCAGTTGCTTAAATTGAGAAGTGTCCTGGGCAGACATTAAATGTAAGTTAAATTACAAAAAAAAGGCTGAATTTAGCTACTATGCTTAATGACTTAGACTGAATGGGGCTAATACTCAAGAATAAACCATGCTAGGAGAAAAGGACATCCTTTAAAAACAATGAAGCGTACAGCAGAAGGACCTTCCAAAGAACCAATTCGTCAGAAATTTACCAAAAATTATGAGGTTTAAGAAAAACTGGAAGATGTACAGAGTTTGATGAGGGGGTGAGCTTTGGGCTGTGTACATGCTGTACCAAAGTGGATAAACATAGTTTGAAGAGGTTGAAATCTCTTGAAACCTGACTTATGCTCCAGGGTCCCAGGGAAGAGATTGGTTAGCAAACAGTCACGTAGAGCTTGCCTGGTGAAAAAAGAAACGTGTTGTTAATTAGCTTGTCACTTATCATGTCGAAACAATGTGAGATAGATATGATGCTGTATTACATATCATTTAAGTTCAGATCCGGAAATCATGCCCATGTTATATAGTGCACCTGTGAGTGCTGCGTCCAGTTCTGGTCATTGTGACATAACAATACTGTTGTACAGCAACTTATTAAAAACTTTCTGAAACTCCATGTACATACATCACAGTATTACCATTATCTATTATCTCATTTGGTCATCCATGCCGTGTCTAAATTAGCTAATTGTTTAGACCCGTTCTCCTGCCCATTTCCCATACTTACCCTTTATTATTTCTCCTCTTTAGGTGAAGTCAGGTTTCTGACAAATGATTTTGAATGTGCAATATTGCAGCTCATAACCTGATTTTGTTTTAAATCATTTCATTGGAATGAATTAACTAAGAGCATTTTTTTAATTGTTCTATTTCTGTAGGGATTACTGTCATTCTTGAGCGCACCCTTGATAGGTGCACTCTCTGATGTATGGGGCCGAAAGTCTTTTTTGCTGCTAACTGTGTTTTTCACCTGTGCTCCTATTCCATTAATGAAGATCAGTCCATGGTAAGTATATACGGAAATACAGTGAAACTCCCATAAGCCATATCAATTGGGACCATAACGTTTAATATGATTTACGTGAAGTCCCAGTTGCAGGCAAACTGCAGATCATATAAAACATGATTTAATCAATAATCTACATGCATGCATAATTCACTGCAGCCAGTAAGTACACATGTGGTACTTTGTTACTGCAGCTGATAATTGCCCATGCAATGAAGGGTCAAGATTACTTTGCCACCAATTCAATGCGCCTTGATAGGGTTTTAAAGTCTACGAGAGAAGGATAAAGATGGACAGTTTTTAGAAGAGAGTTTCAGAGAGCATGATGGCTGAAATGTTGACCACTAATGCTGTAACCGAATGAGCAATAGACAGAACCAAAAGAGTGTAAAGGATTTAATGGAAGGAAGTTGAGATTCATCCAAAGGCAGATAGAATTATAAGAAGTTACTGGGGCTGTGTGCAGTTGCCTAACGCAATGATGTGTGGCGTTGAGAAACACAGTGTTGTGGGGTTGGTGGCTCAGTACTGCCACTTGTTTGTTATTGGCCATATATTTGCTACTGGCTGAAATATTTGTTCCTGAAACATAATTTGCTATAACCTGAATATGCATTGTGTGAATGTTTATGCTTCAATAATGAAATAATAAAGTAGGAAAAAGTTGAGACAGGAAGGATAACCTCTCAGAAGATTCAACAACAACATTTATATTTATTTAGTGCCCTTCATGTAGGATAGCATCTTGGAGCTGAACATTGGTGCAGCTTAACGCTGAGCTGGGGAGAAAGGAAAGTGACTTGTAGGCATGGTTGAAGAGGAAAGTCTTCGGATATGAACGGGAGCAAAGCATAGAGATTGAGGCAGTGAGTTCAGAGGTTTGGTTGTAGTGGCTGAAAGGACTAACATTAATAATATATGTAATAGATCCAGTGGGACCTAGTTTGGGGTTCGCTCACCTCATTCTATATTTATATTCATACAAACATTCCTTATAATATTTGCTGTTTTCCTACCTTCTAGGTGGTATTTTGCAGTTATCTCCGTGTCTGGTGTACTTGCTGTAACCTTCTCTGTGGTGTTTGCTTATGTGGCTGACATAACCCAGGAGCATGAAAGAAGCATGGCCTATGGACTGGTATGTGAAGCTGTTTAATACACTTAACATTCCAAAGAGGGGCACCTGTAAACACAGTGAAACTCTGATAACTTATCACCCCCAAGGGAAATGGCTCAAATACTATTTATCAGAGTTGATTTATTATCCAAAATGCAGTATCTTGAAAGTACAAAGTACTCAAAGAGTGGAGATTTTGAGGGAGTGAAGACAACAACAACAAATTGCATTTATAAACCGCATTTTCACGTTGAGAGGATGTCCTAAGGTGCTGGGTGTTGGAAACAAGAGAAGGAAAGTGTAGTCTGGGATGATCCAGGTTTCTGTGAGGACGAAGATGTCAAACGTTTTTGTTGACAATGAGGTTGTGGGCGGTGAGGGCTTTGTTGGAGAGAGTGTGGACATTTTGTAGGGCAACACGAAGGGGACGTGCAGCAGAGGAGTTTGCAGGACGGTGGTGTGGGGCGAGGAAGGAGAAGGATTAACAGGAAGGGTGGGAATGTGGATGAGGGAAGAGAGGTTCATTCCTGGGTGCTGCAGCTGGTAGCCCTTTCGGGGGTAATGGGGGATGGAGCAGTCAGGATGGCTGCTGTTGGACAATTGCATAGTGCCACGATTAACCCAGGTAGAATTCCCAGGCTGGAACAGAGGGAAGCTACAGGAGGGAGAGGAGGTGGGGATGGCAGTAAGAAAGAAGAACCAAGCGGACGTAATGGAGTATAGTAATGGAGGCTAGTTATATGCGGTTTGATTATTTATCTCAGAGACTAGTTATCAGAGTTTCATTGTATTTCAGAATAATGTGCGATGATGAACTTACAAAACTGTGAAACACCATTGAAGTAATCTGTCCTTGAAGCTGAATCCTCTTGATTTTAGATCAACATACAGTAGAGAGCCGGCTAATTGGGTTGTTTGCATTGTTGATATGAAAACAGTCCCGATAATGGCATCATGCAAAATATAAACTCGCTACAGCGCTATCTAAAACATTAGGAGTTATACAGTTATTCTTTTGCTCTTTTACTTTCTATCTCGTCTATTGTCTATCGTTTATTGAAATCCTGTACACTGTCCAGTGCCTTGGGACCTCCTCCCGACGTGAAAGGCGCTATACAAATATAATGTGGTTGTTGTTTCTATCATTTTCCCTCATTCACTTTGATTTTGCTTCCCCCACCCCAAACTCTGAGTCTCTCTTTCGCTCTCTCCCTGTCTCTGAGTCTCTCTTACACCCCATCTCCAACTCACTCTCAATCGCTCTCTCCCTTTCTCTCTCTGAGTCTCTCTCTCTCAGACTCCATTTCTCTGATTCTCTCTTTACCTCTCCTTGTCTCTGATAAATTACTGAATAAATACGCTTCTGTGTTGATGGTTCATAGTGGCATTGCTCTGAGTCATTCTCTCAATTTGAAAAGGCCCTTTATGAAATGTAATAATAATTATTACTAAATGTGGATAGTTAGTGCACAGATAAGCAGCATTCTGTTATATTGCACTGACCTTCACACTTGGGATTGGGTGTTGCCCAGACTCATTGGGATTGGAGAGGAGCAGACGGACATTTCCTTCTTGTGCTCTTAAGTGAATAGTTGAAGCAGTTTCTTTGTGTTAGGTGGCTCCTAAATATATACAAAATACTAAATAGGATTGAAAAGTAAACCTAGTAAAACGCTTTCCATTGCAGCAGGACAAGAGGACGTGTTTAGGATTCTGAAGGGCAGTTTTAAGACAGTCACACAGAGAATCCAGCAGATTCATCTATTTGAAAAGTGTGGCAGGATCTTTAATGTCCACCTGAACAGACCAGATGGAAATTGGGTTTAATGTCTCATTTGAAAACTGTCACCTTGCCAATATCTACAACCCTCTGACCAGTGAAGTGAGAGTGTTGCTAACTGAACCAAACTAATGCTGACAAAGTGTCCTTTATGAAAAACAAAGTAAAATATTATACTTGAATTACCATTTTCTGTTTAAAACTTGTACGTGAATGCCAATTCTTCACTTAGACATGATGGCACTTAATTGGTAAAGGTTTGACAATGTAAAATGCTTTCATGTATTGTTTAACCAAGAAATATGCAGATTACTTTGTTTACTTTTTGGGGGTTTTCACCAATAATCAACCCTGACCATCTGAGTTTGTCTTTTCTTCACTACTAGGTTTTCTAAAATGAGTTATGTACCTCTGTTATGTGATCTGAAAGGTTTTAATCATCTATAGTAATTGCATTTCATCAGATTGAAATATGTTTCAAAGTTTAAGATTGTTTTATTCACAATATGTTTCTATGTTCAGAATGTATTAATTTCTGTTGTCTTATATTAGGTGTCTGCAACGTTTGCTGCAAGCTTAGTTACCAGCCCAGCCATTGGTGCATATCTGGGGCGGGTTTATGGAGACAGCCTCGTGGTTATCCTGGCCACAGCTATTGCGCTACTCGATATCTGTTTTATTCTGGTGGCTGTACCAGAATCACTGCCAGAGAAAATGCGGCCAGCCTCTTGGGGAGCTCCCATATCCTGGGAGCAAGCTGACCCATTTGCGGTGAGTGTAACCACTTTACTAATGCTGATTTCTGTAAGGAATCAAAAGTGTTAAAATTTAGCCATGGGGATTATGATTAACTTGAACTACAGCATTGAGTTTCAGATCTTTTTATCTAAATGTTTTAAGGGAACAATGGCTAAGAAATAACTGCAGTAAAACCCCATCTGACCTTTGGATGAGAAGTTAAACTGAGGTTCCCATCTGTGCCTGTTCAGGTGGATGTTAAAGATCCCATGTCACTATTCGAAAAGAGAAGAGAGTTTCTCCTGGCCAACAATCCCACAAATTCTAGTGCAAGTTTTGCACATGTACATGGCTATAAATTGACTCCAGTCATTGTTTATAAAGATCATACTGTATTTACTTGAGCTTTAACTACTTCCACTTAATCGCAGCAGATTTGACAAAATATTGTCAGTCTTGATGGTCCATATTTTATAGAAGGGGAGCTAGATAGACCAATAGTCTGCTGAAACTGTTACTAGATGCATCATATTCTCTTTCATATAACTGTGCTGATTATCATTTATTTTTGTACTCCAGTCTCTCAAGAAAGTTGGCCAAGATTCAACAGTTCTCCTGATGTGTATTACAGTTTTTCTCTCCTACCTCCCAGAGGCAGGCCAGTATTCCAGCTTCTTTCTGTACCTCAGACAGGTAGGAATACCATTTGGTAAAATCTTTCACAAGTTTTTAATTGGATGCTGAAACAAACAATTTTGTTGGTAGGGGAGGTTGATAGATATTGTGTGGTATTGTGTGGTATTGCCTCATACTCCCGTACATCCCCCTGGTACACCAGCCATCTCCGTTCCCTCAAGGCCAAATGCGCCTGGACCAAATCCAAACTAACGGTCCATCGGCAGATTTGGCTTCACCACACCAAGACCTCCCGCTGCACTCTTGCCTCCGCCAAATCCTCCTTCTCCTCCAAGGTTATCTTGGAAGCAAAGGACAACCCCTGGCTTCTCTTTTCCACCACTAACCATCTCCTCCATCCACCTTCCCATACCTCGCCCATCCTCTCCTCAAAATCCAACTGTGAGGAGATGCTGGACTTCCTCGAATCTAAAATCGAGGGTATACGTTCAGCCACCTCAGCCCCGTCCACAGCCACCCCCACATCACCTCTCCTTTATGACCCACCCACCCTCTCTCTCCCTCCTTCCTCACCACGACTGTCTGCAAACTCAAACCCACCACCTGCTCCCTCGATCCCATCCCCATGTCTCCCCTTGTTTCCCAGCTCCACCTTCTGGCCCTCCCTCAATTCCCGCCCCCCCTAAAAACATCCATCATCATCCCCATCCTGAAAAAACCTTCCCTGGACCCATCCCACCTCTCTGGCTACCGTCCCATCTCTAACCTCCCATTCCTCTCCAAGGTCCTGGAACGAGTCGTCGCGTCCCAGCTCCGCTCCTTACTCTCTTGCCATTCCCTCTTTGAACCCCTCCAATTCGGCTTCCGCACTGCCCATAGCACAGAAACGGCCCTGATCAAAGTCACTAATGACGTTCTGAACATCTGTGATCAGGGCTCCCTCTGCCTCCTCGTCCTCCTCGATCTATCTGCCGCCTTCGACACTGTCGGCCACTCCATCCTCATACACCGCCTCTCCGCTTTACTCATTCTTCACGGATCTGCCCTTGCCTGGTTCGATTCCTATCTCTCTCACCGTCTCCAATTCGTTGCTTCTAACGGTTTCTCCTCCAGCACCCGCAATGTCACATCTGGCGTCCCCCAGAGCTCTGTCCTTGGCTCTCTCCTCTTTAATAACTACATGCTCCGCCGTGGTGACATAATCCGCAGACATGGGGTCAACTTACACATGTATGCGGACGACACCCAACTCTTATCTTTCTGCCTCCACCCTCAACTCCAGGACCACTGCTGTCCTGACAGACTGCCTGTTGGACATCAAGTCCTGGATGAGGACAAATTTCCTACAGTTGAATGTGAACAAGACTGAGACCTTCCTGATTGGCTCACGTCAGCAGCTCAGGCTCTGGCAACATCAACCTCCATGGTTGCACATTTCAATTCACCAAGCCAGTCAGGAACCTAGGTGTCTTGTTCGACCCTCAACTGTCTTTTCTCCCTCACATTCAAGCCATGACCCGCTCTGCCTGCCCTCACCTCCATAACATCGCCCGACTCCGCCTCTACCTCACCCCTCAAGCCACTGAACCTCTTGTTCATGCCCTCATCACCTCCAGGCTCGCTATACAAACGCCCTGCTTGTCGGCCTTCCCAACTCCTCCCTCCACAGGCTGCAGATAATCCAGAACTCTGCAGCCCGTGTCCTCTCCCGCACCAAACTCCGTGACCCCATTTCCCCAACTCTACTTGCTCCCTATCCTTCAGAGGATCCAGTTCAAGATCCTGGTCCTCACCTACAAAACCCTTCATGGCCTCGCCCCACCCTACTCTGCGACCTCCTAACCCCCTACCAACATGCCTATTCCCTCCGCTCAGCCGGCTCTGGCTGCTCCACATCTCCCGACCCACCTGCCCCACATTGGCGGGAGAGCCTTCAGCCACTCTGCCCCCAACCTCTGGAATTCCATCCCCCAGTCACTCCGCCTCGACCCTCCTTAGCCTCCTTCAAGTCCCGCCTCAAGACCCTCCTCTTCGACCATGCCATCGGCCACCCCCCCTCCCCTCCCTTCACCCCCCAACCGCAGCTCAGGTCTGAAATGCTGTACTCTGTCCAGCGCCCTGGGACGTCCTTCCGAAAGGCGCTATACAAATGTAATCTTGCTGTTGTAAAAGAAGACAGGTGGAGAGCTTTTGCCCACTTTTGTGTGAATTATATGTCAAATTTGTGGGATATTCTGTCTGAATGTAGTGAACGATAAGGTATTAGGAACAGATAGAGTTCAAAAGGGCAATTAAATAAAGAGTTAGGAAACTTACGACTGAGAGAGAGCAAGTAAAGACCAGAGTTATAACAGGGTTGCCTTGACTTAGATGCTCAGAGATAGATACTTTCATAGAGTTTCTGTTTCAAACTGTATGACATCAATTGACCAAATTAATTTATACCTGGGATTGTTTATCCGAAAATGAATTTGCACCGAATTATAAAGTAACTGAACTGCCTAGCTATATTTAATAACATCTACCCTTGTTCCTATGTTATGTTGTAACAAAAGTTGATTTTTGTTCAGTTATGAAATTGAAGGCAGCTGACTTTTTGTTTTGAACAGGTCATGGGATTTTCATCAGAAAGCGTGGCTGCCTTCATAGCAGTTCTTGGCATCCTCTCCATTGTTGCCCAGGTACATTTATGATTTTCTACCTTTACCCAGGTGCAGCTTTATTACCATTCATAGTCCACTTCAACTGATTACTGTCGATTCCAGCTGTACAACAACAACTTGGATTTATATAGTGCCCTCCACGCCGGAAGGCGTCTCAGAGCGCTTCACAGTAAGGAATCCCAGGACCGAGGGAGGGGGGGGAAGGTGATCAATGGCGCGGTTGAAAAGAAAGGTCTTCAGAAGGGACTTGAAAGTAGGAAGAGAGGTGGTGAGGTGAAGGGAGTGAGGAAGGGAATTCCAGAGCCTAGGGGCAGAGTGGCTGAAGGCACGGCCGCCGAGGGTGGAGCGGAGGATGAGGAGGGGGCCAGACCCGGAGGATCGAAGGCAATGGGTGCTGTTTGAGAAGAGAGGAGGTCAGAAAGGTCGGGGGGTGCAGAGGAGTGGAGGGATCTTGAAATCGATCCTCTCTGGGATAGGCAGCCAGTGCAGTCTGGCAAGGACTGGGGTAATCGGGGAACGTAGTTTGGTGCATCACTGTACCCAGTGATGCGCTTCTGGAGCCTGGTCCACTGCTTTCTCCTAGGTACAATCGAGAAACCTGACCAGAAATTTGCAAATTGGGGTTTTGTTTTATTCATTGAACTTCAAGTTTAGGAGCTTCAAAGTGCTATTCAATACTGTGGAGGGAAAGAGGATGAACATCAACACTAACATTGCAAACCTACATCAATCATTCCACTCAATTCTGTGAAGAGCTTTGGGCATTTTGATGACTTGAAAATGTAATAATTATTATTGTGTTTTGTTTACTCAAGCAAAATTGTCTTTCATATGGGAAGGATATCCCGAGGCGCTAGACAGTCGAGGTTTGCACCCAAGCTGGGGTTTGGGAGGGTTGAGGGCGAAAGGGGGGAAGATGACTGAAGCTGTGGTCAAAGAGGAAGGACTTGCGACATCCTTGAAGATGCCAAGAGAATGGGCAAGGCGAAGGGAGGAGTAGAGTTCCAGAGAGTGAGGACAAAAAGGCTGAAGCTCCGACCACCAATGGTCAGGCCAGGGGATGTGAAGCAGGCCAATCCCGCTGAGGGGAGGGAGCGGGTGGGTTGGTAGAGTTTTAGAGGTAGATTGGACAAAACCATGGAGGGATTTAGAGTGAATGTGGCGGAGGTAAGAAAAAACTGAACATGCTTGTTTCACTTACACTTTGGTGTGAATGGAAATTCATAAACCCAGTGAAACAATAGGCTTTGGAAATTCTGCAACACACGATTGGACAATGTTTAATGTAGAAATTGCACTAAAGCAGTTTTCTAAATGTTCACTAAATTTCTCTTTAAGACTGCTGTTCTAAGTTTGCTGATGAGATCAATTGGTAACAAGAAGACTATTCTGCTCGGTTTGGGTTTCCAGATGTTACAATTGGGCTGTTATGGCTTTGGCTCTGAGCCCTGGTATGTATATCAAGAATTTTTCTCATGAGTGTATCAATATTCATATTATAAATGCTCGGAAGGAATCAGTCAATCCTCTGCCATTGTTAGTCCTGATCTTGAGCCAAGTGGTTCTGTTATTTTAAGGCACTGTTAATGACAGACTGGCCAACTTGTCTTGTTGGTAGGACTTGGAGAGTCACTGGCATTTCCCCACTCAACTTCTGTTGATCCTGCAGGCCAAAGCCCTAATGTAGGTTGTGATCCTAGCTGGACAAGGTAGAGGGAATTTTGCCAGACAGTGTTTGCAATAGTTAACAATTGACATTTTATACAGCACTTTCACATTAGGAGTATATCTCAAAGCACTTCACCCAACGGACTAGAAACCCAGGCTCACTGGTGGGGGGGGTTGGAGAAAGGTGATCGGAAATGTGGTCGAAGGATTGGTCTTTGGGCAAGTTTTGAAGGACGTGAGGGAGGGGGAACGTGACAGATGGAGTCCCAGAGAAGGAGCAGAATGGCTGAAATCTCACCCACTGCTGGTGGGATTGAGTCTGTGGGGAGGTGAATCAGGCCAGTGTTTTCTGAACTGAGGGAGCAGCTGTGGTCACAGATTAGCTAGTTAAACTTCAGCAATACTCTTAATGCACATTCTGGGGTCCCCAATCCTTCGTCCTTGCCAACCTGCAACAAATGCTTTCTGTAATTAGGTAAGCAGGGTACATCCCTCTGGGGAAGAGAGCAGATGCAGCACTCCAAACGAAGAGTGATTTCCATGTGTGGATTGAAGTACTTTTGAGATGTTATCCTATATAATGATTGCTATGTAAATCCAAGTTGTTATCAGGTAGCATGCATAATTGGAACTCAGTCTAGTTCACATCCTGTTAAGCATGCCGATTTGTTTCTGTTTGTATCAGACATATGGCTAACCAAAGAAAATTGAAAGAAACCTGATTATGGTTTGACCTCTTTGACAGTGTTTTAATAAACAGTGTCATTCATTCTTACATTTGCGAAAAATGAAGAACATAAGAATCGCTATACCAAAAAAGACCAAGGTCCATCCAGTTTGCCTTCCACCATCCTGGCAGTCGCATACACATGTCATGTCTCAAACTATATACTATATCTCACGATATTATAAATTTATTTAATTTGCTTTTGAAAGAATCGATATTTTCTGCTTCCATTGTCTCTCTAGGGAGCCTGTTACATACATTTACTAATCACTCACTGAAATAGTGTTTCCGCAGATTTGTTTTGAATTTAACCCCCTTCAATTGTAGGCCGTGTCCTCTGGTTCTACTCTCTGGACAAGATAAAACAGTTTATCATGGTCTACATTATCCAGTTCCTTTAGAATCTTAAAAAACATCTTATCATATCGCCGCTCAACCTTCCCTTTTCCAATGTAAATTTGCCCAGTTTACTTAATTAAATTGTTTGCAATTGATCTTATATGAGTGAGCAAAGTATGATCCTGTCAAGCAGTGTAACTAATATTAATGATTGCAGGATGATGTGGGCAGCAGGCGCTGTGGCAGCTATGTCCAGTATTACTTTTCCAGCAGTCAGTGCTTTGGTTTCACGCAATGCTGATCCAGATCAACAAGGTAAGTTGATTGTGTGGAAACAGACAAACTGGCAAGAACCTACTCATATTTTTCTAAATTTGATAAGGACACCTGTGGTTTTGAAAGTTATCATAACTTTTTGTTTAAAAATGTGTTTGAGAGATGTCTTGCGAAAGTCAGTTGTAGACAGTATATTTGAAATTATTTTAAGAATGAATATTCAGCAGTGTCAAATACGTAAAGCATTTACCACTACTCTCAGTTTGGTGTCATGAAATTGTAGAAATGCCAGCACATTGAGAATCACTATTTATCATCTCATAATTGTTTAGATCTTTTAAAAATCTCAATTAGATACCCTTTAACTTGAATTTTCGAGCTTGTCTGTAACTTTAACTGTTTACCTCTGATATGGTCTGTGTGAACCTATTCTGTATCCTCTCTTTATCTCTGATGCCCTTTCTATAATGGAGCAGGTAGAACTTCTCCAAATCATGCACAACTTGACTACATTGGATGTCAGTAAGAGTCTAGCAGCCGACTTCTTGGAATTGTTACTGACAGAACATTTAGAAACTGAATTCAAACATTTTGAATCTATTTCCAGGTGTTGTTCAAGGTATGATCACGGGGATTCGAGGCCTGTGTAACGGCCTGGGACCAGCTCTGTATGGGTTTATATTTTATATATTCCATGTGGAGTTAATTGAAGTACCAGAGAATGAAGTGGGATCTCTTGACAGCCGGACGACACACAACCATTCTCAACAGGTAAGTACAAGGTATTTGTGGCTTGATGGCTTTGTTTGTGGCCTGGGTGTGGGTACGCAATATTACTTGAGAGGGAAAATAGGCAGGTAGAAACATCAATTTAGTTGCCATTTATTCTTCTGTCTCTAAATTAGTTATTAAATATCAGTCGTCCCACTGATGGGTTGCTTTGTAGCCAAGAGTAATTTGAGCTCCAATTCTGTACGTAGATGCAAGTAATTGAAACTTGCAAGAGTAGGCATTTGCCCACAAAAGACACAGTCACAACATCTTACAGTATATCCTATGAAGCCCTTTGAGACATGGTCTCTGCTTGAAAGGTGCAGTATCAAATGTAAGTATTATAATCAGGTTATTATACACTTACATCCTATATCTCACATTTCTAGTGCAAACTGGATATCAATCTGGGTTTTTAATTGCTAGAATCAGGCTTTTTTTTTTGGTCTCGGGGTATCTGACGTGTGGAAACCATCATCACGCTTAAGAGTATCCAAATCAGACTGCGAGTTCCCAGTGTCTCAAAGCGCTTTATATTGTAAAGTGGTTTTGACTGTGTGTTTTGTGGGCGAAACGTGGCAACCTGTTTGCACACGGTAATGTACCACAAACAGCCATGAAGTCAATGACCAGTTTTTACTTGGAGAATTTGTTGCCCAGAACACCGGAAGAAACTCCCTGCACTTTTTGAACAGTGCATGAGATCTTTAACGTCCACCTGAACAGGCAGACAGGACCTCGGTTTAACGTCCTGTCTGCCGAAGTACAGCACTTCCGATCATACAACACACTCCCAGCACTGATTGGAATATGTGATTCTAAGTCCCATGTGGGGGTTGAATCCAAACCTTCTGACTCCGAGGCGAGAGCACTACCACTGCGCCAGGCTGACACACTGCCACCAACAAATGGAAATTTCTGTTTCTGGAATGGAATGTGCACTCTCTCCCTGGGAGTACGCACTCTGCTTATCTAATTCCAGAGAGTATTAGGTGCAGGTTGGCGAGAGCCAAGACTCGGGAACTACATAGGATACGACTAGAGAACATTGGACTTAATCAGAGTTGTCCACTCACTGATTAATCTGAGTCAGCAGCCAAGATAATTGTTTCTCGAGTGGTAAACAGATGTCAAGGCACTCTGTGCTTGTCCCCTCCTTACATCACCGAACCTTGAGCCTTCAGCAAACTGTGCCTCTAACCTCGGCAACTCCCCCTCTCTACCCCTTTGCCTTGCTTGTCTTTAAATCCCACCTAACATCAACCTATTTAATGGCCCTTAGCTGTGAGCCGTTGATGGATTTGACTGTTAAAACATTTTAGCAACAAGACCTGTTTGATTAGTTTTATGTATAATTATTTCATGTTAACTGTAAATTTTCAGTGGTTCAATTGATAATCGTAACAACAACTTTTTCATTTCCATATACATTTTCGTGTTAAGTATTAAGAATTGCATAAGAAAGTTGCATAAGAAAACATTGTAACTTTTTGTCTTTTTAGAGTTCAATACTTCCAGGACCACCATTTTTATTTGGAGCGTGCTCAGTGCTGCTGGCCTTGCTTGTGGCCTTATTTATCCCGGAACATACAAACACATCTGTACGATCCAGTAACTGGAAGAAACACAGCAACAGTCACGGTCACACACACAACCCACAAGCACCTACTGAGGCCAAGGAACCATTACTCCAGGACACTAATGTATGACACAGGACCCACTGGACCCACTACCGAGCACTGAAAGCTCAGAGGCTGAGTCCTATTTTTTTNAGAAAAAAGAGGCTGTTTATGGTGTTAACCTGTAAAAACGATGCACGTTTTTCTGAATATGGACATCAGGTAATTCAATCAGGATTGTATTCATCCTGTTAAGGACAGCAGCAGGTAAGACATCCAGGACTCTGCAGGTTGGAACTGATTGAGCTTTTACAAAGCATAATGACTAAAGTATTTACCAAAAAAACACGCTCTGAAAGGTTTCTTAACTGTGGTGATTGTTCGAGGATTTGTGACTAGATATTATTCCAAGTCCCAACAACATGGCATTTTTTTTGACACAGTGTTTGGATTTTGTGCCATGTACAGATTAGTCACAGTGTTTGTTTGTTTGTACAGTTCTGCTTTAATTTAAGGTGTATTGGATATTAGTGAATGGCTAAATTCCAGTACTGAGCAGTCGATACTCCGATGCTGGAAGGGTTCTGCTGTACATGTCTCTAGACCTTCTTATGCTGTGTCTGAGTGGGACAAATGACTCTTATGTTCCATCTATTTTGAGCATTACTGTGGAATCCAGGGTGGTTAGATACGTAAGCCTTAATGTAGTAGATGCACTTAAATACAAACTTAAAAGCCTGCTATGGTGCCAGTTTATCTGAAAGAAAAATCATCCAAGGCAGCATGACAAATGTATCTGAAATAAAAACACTGCACGAAATATCCTTTTCTTTCTGGTAATGCGTCTATAGAATGTTTCATCAGAACTTTTAAACTAGCTTCTTGATCGTTCAGCTATTTAATTCATGCACCTCAGACCTTATCTCTGTCAATGGAAATCATGTTGGTGCGAATATTTGACTGGAATGCAGACCAAGTGCTTTGTTTGAAGCTTCATTTCATTTTGCCTCAGAAAGCTAGTCTAAAAACGGTTTGTCATGATAATGCTTGGTTTTATTCACTTTAGCAACCTTTTTGAGATACAATTTGTAATTTAAACAGTTTATCGAGACCACCTTCCTCTCTGCCTTTTTCTTCTGTCTCACTTTTATATGCATTTATAGCTGATGTAATGAGTAAATTATATTTATTTTATCTTTTAACCAGAGTATCCTGAGTAAAACCTAAAATATTTCAAGCCTTGAAATGCCATTTTTTGGGTTTAAGAGTTCGCCCTTGAGATTGTGGCCTTTTAATATGAACCATATTTTGGTAACTAAAAGTAAAAAAAACATATAACTTTGATTTAATCAGAACCAGATTTGAAGCAGTGTATGTAAGGCAGGTATGGATTTTCAGAAATTGTCTATTTTTGTGTGCAGTTATAATTGAGCAAAAACATTGTACTGTATTTCTTTGTGTAAAGTAATGCCAATACATGTATAAAGGAAATCCTAAAAATGTTCATTTCATTCTATTCTCTTCTCCTTTGTACCTTGTTTTTGGAAAATTGTGGATCCTGAGATGATAGACAGTATTTTTCCCCTTTTCCCCATTTCATTTTGCAACAAACTAGTTTCAAAGCAGAATGTCTTAAATACCAGTAATATGATTATCACAATGTGTACCTAACACACTGTAAATAAGTCATTCATGTTTAGTTCAATAAAACTAAATATTTTACATTAGTTGTACTTAGATTTTCATTTTTTAGTTTGATTTCCTCACTAAAAATAGATTACTCAGCAGCATCAATGTACTTGTACGCTTCACTTTCAATGACAATTCAAAATGGAGAGGCAAAAGTGTGGTGGGATTGAAGACAGCAGCTACCGGGCAGCAAGAAGCAGTCATTGGGTGGACAGGAGATGAGAAACCAGGTGATGGGTTTCATGAGGAAGAAGTGACTGGATTAAAGATGTGGGCATGAGTGGAGAGGAAGTACAGGCAGCTCAGTGCATCTTTGTAATTTTGGAGACCTCTCATTTGGGAGTTGAAGGTGAGGATAGTGGGAGGATGGGTGGTGAAGAGGAGCCTGGGTTATCTTTTCCATCTAGGGTGAGCCTGGAGTAGGATTTGGCTGAGGAGAGCGAACAACAGTAAGTTTTTGGTGTGGTCCAGCAGATCTGACAGTAGACCATGAGACCAGATTAAGGGTGATAGGTAGGCTCACAGCCTAGGAGAGGACATGGAGCTACAGCTTGTTCAGGGAAAAGCTGGGAGTCTGGTGTGCTGGGTGTTCAAATAGCTGAGCCTGGACATCAGGAAGCTGTGAATGAGCATTTCAGAAGCCTGGAGGTAGGGGTGATAGAGGCAGGCAATGATGCAGAGGTGAGTCAAAGCCCACGTGTAAGACTTGAAAGATAGTTGGGAGTCAAAGACGACACAGGTTTGGTTCTGTGATGTGGAGAGATCCCCTGAGGTGGAGTCCATGCAGGTCAGTCAGTGTGTGAGGTGAGCAGATGGTGACAGAGAGTCTCAGCCCGGACTTGATGTCAGACAAATGCTCGAGCTGCAGCCAGTAATACCTATAATAAACCAGAGCCATAGATGGAACAATAGAAATTTGCAGCCAAAAGACTACTCGGGCCATCAGGTCTGCATAGGCTCTTTTAAGAGCAATCTTTCGATCCCATTTACTCACCCTTTTCCCATACCCACGTACCTTTTTTTTCTTTTTACAACAACTTGCATTTGTATTGTGCCCTTCACGCAGGGTAGCACATCCTGGAGCGTTTAACTGTGATGGAGTTTGCCGCTGAGCCAGGGAGAGGGGGGAGATGACCATTGGCACAGTTGAAGAAGAAGATCTTCAGGTGCCATTTGAAGAAGGAAAAGGTGGAGAATTAAGGCTGAGTTCCAGAGTTTTCGGGGACTAGTGGCTAAAAGCACTGCCGATGATGTGGATGAAATAATTTTATCGAGTTACCCTTTGAAAGCTCAGCCACCGCTCCCGACGGCATTCCATAACACATTACTCTGATGATTCTCGTAACCTCTCCATTTGCCGAGTGACTGACGATCTCACCCACAAAATATACAGTCAGTCCACTCTACTCTGTGAAGCGCTTTGAGACGTCTCGAAGAGATACTGTACCAAATGCCAGAATTATTATCATGATCTTAAAACGATTTTGTCTCTGGTGAGCGAGGTTAGGCTCGCTCACCCCCGATAACCAAGTTAGGCTCAAACGTTCCCACTTCGGGAACGAGGGTTGCCCCCCAGGACAAGCCCCAATCTCCCCCCGCAAACACCTCCAGGCCCCAAATTGTCAAAGGACACCGCAGACCTGAACCATGTCTTCTTGACCACCCGAGCAGGTCAGGTGACGGGATGGTCTCTGTCTCTCTTGTCAGGACCAGCCCGGCCTGAGCCCAGTGACCAGGTGCTCAAGTGGTACCAGTGTCTCCGCTTCCTCTGTGTGAGGGCAGATCACACTCTGCAGGTGCAATACCGCCCCCAACCAACAGAGGGCAATACCGCTCCCAACCAACAGAGGGCAATACCGCTCCCAACCAACAGAGGGCAATACCGCTCCCAACCAACAGAGGGCAATACCGCCCCCAACCAACAGAGGGCAATACCGCCCCCAACCAACAGAGGGCAATACCGCCCCCAACCAACAGAGGGCAATACCGCTCCCCAACCAACAGAGGGCAATACCGCCCCCAACCAACAGAGGGCGCAGCCTTCCCATATCCGGTTCTGGGAGCCACACGGCCACTCGAGCAGCTCCCGCTGTGCTCCCGGGCCCCGCGGTGGGGAGGGGAGAGGGGGCGGTCACGGCTCAGTCTGTCTCTGGGTTCAGGGCCCCCGGGGCCGGGGCTGATGGCGGGGGAAGCGGCCGCGGACGGGGTTCGGGCGCCGCTGTCCGGGAGGTGCAGTTACTTCGTGGTGAAGAAGCGGCGATATTGCCGAATGGTCACAGCCCGCGGGCACCGCCTCTGCGGGGAACACCGCACAGAGGTACAGACCCCGGGCCCGGGGGGGGGGGGACAGGCCCGGGGGGGACAGGCCCGGGGGGGGGGACAGGCCCGGGGGGGGGGAGGGCCGGGGGGGACAGGCCCCGGGGGGGGGACAGGCCGGGGGGGACAGGGCCCGGGGGGGGGGGGACAGGCCCGGGGGGGGGGGGGGACAGGGCCCGGGGGGGGGGGGACAGGGCCCGGGGGGGGACAGGCCCGGGGGGGGGGACAGGCCCGGGGGGGGGCAGGGCCCGGGGGGACAGGCCCGGGGGGGGACAGGCCCGGGGGGGGGGACAGGCCCGGGGGGGGGACAGGCCCGGGGGGGGGACAGGGCCCGGGGGGTGAGGGGTGAGGGGGGGACGGGGGGTGAGGGGTGGGGGGGGGACAGGCCCGGGGGGTGAGGGGTGGGGGGGGAGGGGGGGGTGAGGGGTGAGGGGTAAAGTTGGCGGAGAGTGAAGTCTGACTTCAGTGAGAAACGAAGATGATTTTTTTTTAAATCTAATATTAAATTAACCTTTTACTAAAAAACTGAAAAACAAAAGGGGGGACGTTCCCGAGTGGGAAGGTTTCGGGGTAATTCGGTCAGTGGGGGCTTCGCTCACCAGTGAAAATAAGTATTTTTCAGCTCGAGGTGAAAACATTTGAATGTTTTTCCTTCCAGAGCGAAAATCAGGGAAAGCGAATCCGCTGTCCCCTCGATCCCAAACAGTAAGTGCACAAACCAAACCAAAGTCTCTCTTATTTTGGTTTTAAAAACCAAATACAAAGTACTGTTTCGCGCAAACGCAGCGGCTGATCTGTGCCACTGACATCCCGCAAACCGTGAGAAATTTGGATGGATTCTGGTGTGGGGGGTTTTTTGGGTGAACTTTGAATGAAATATCTAAGACGTTCGGGGGATATTCCCGCTTGTTCCATGAAATAGCGCTGCGGGACCTTTTATCTTTTAATACGCCCGAATTACCGGGTGTGAGTAATGTCGGTGTAGAAATGTGAATTGTGTGTTTTAGTTCAAACGGTCGACGACCGCCACCGTTAATCGCCCTCCACTCCTCACAGCAGTGCGTCTGCAAACAACCATCAAGTAAATGACCAGTTTGAAGTGGAGGATTTGTTGGGCAGAACACCGGGAGAAACTCCCTTCTCTTTTTCGAATCGTGTTGTGGGATCTTTAGTGCGAACCTGAATAGGCAGATTGGGGTCTTGGTTTAATATCTTATCCAAAGAACAGGAGATCCCTGACAATGCCAACAAACTTCTGATTCAGGGGCGAGAGTGCTTCCAACGCAACCTGACACGGACTGAAACCAACAGAATAAAAGCCGACATTATTTTTTTACAGCACAGTCGATGAAGATAAACTAGAAAAACATCTGAAAAAATGTAATTCGAGGGAAAAACCCAAACCAGTAAGTCCTTCAGATTTCACTGTTAATTTCTTTCTCTGTTCATGTGCTTCCAATGAACTTTGCAGGAGGTTTCAGTTGCACTGTTTCTGAAATATTAGCGTAATTAACAGATTAACTCAAATAATAAACGTGGTTTGTTTCAGGACTGCTTTTGTGGACAAACACTCACACGTGAAGAGCGTGTTGCATGTAAAATTTGGTCACTCAATCCACGGTTGTTTGTGGGACACTGCTGTGCGCAATTGGCTGAGGTACAGTCGCACCAATGATTCATAAAGTGGCAGAATTACCCCACTAATTCGGCTCGATATTGCCCTTTTAATACAACCCAGTATCCGGTTCAGTGCTCTGGGACTCCACCCTGCGTGAGGGACGCTATATAAATGCAAGTTATTGTTGATTTGCCCTCCTCATTTCCCGCCCTCCCCATACGCTCCAATAACAACAACAAATGACATTTATACAGTGCCTTTTACATCAGGAGGACATCCCAAGGCGCTGGACAGTCAGGGATTTGACTCCACCTCCCCCCAACGCTATATAAATGCAATTTGTTGTTGTTATAATGTAAATTAAGAATTTAGGATAATTGTATTTATTAATTAGATCAGAAGGTTGATCGGGGAGATAAAGACAAGTTATTTTATACTTACTCAGACCATATAAGAAACATTACATTTAATTTCTTCTTTCCTTTTCCCTTCGCACTAATTTACCAATTGCAGGTTTACTATAGACACAATGTTAATGGGGGTCCTGAAGATGCTGAAGAGAATTCCAAGCAACAGGTACAGGAACTGGTTGTTGAACAATAGATATTTTTTTCCATTTTCTTTTGTGTCTCTTTAGTGAAGTAACACCATTATTCTATATCTGTTAAGGTTCCACTTTGTGATCTGTCCAAAGAAGAAATAGAAATAATGATCACAAAACTCCGAAAGGCAACGAGTGGTGAGTGTTTTAACAGGAGAAAGCACTGGGACAGTGGGAAAGGTTACAGTTATCATTACAATGTTCAGGCAAGTGAATATATATTTCAGGAAATGTAAACTTCTTGCTGTAAAATACGCTTAATTTCTGGTAATTCTATTTGTAGAAGCCTCCTAACTGGATAGATGTGTGTTATTCTATGAATAGGGTTTCTGACCCCAACACTCAGGTGGATGAGACTTCTTGGTGTGGGTGAAATGTTGGTTATCGCAGGTGTCCCGCCCTATAAGGGGGACGATACACTCGCACACTCACTCCATGAAACATTGCCCGATGGAACATATCCATCCTACCTCAGCAGATAGACAGCATCTTCAGAGAGCAGAGGGATTGCGCTGAAACAAACTACAATGCAATGTATTTTTGAAAGAGACGTGTGTGAATAAATTATTTTTAAAAAGTGATCAGAAACAGAGGTGCCACTGGGCATGAGAACATTATCTAACTACATTTATTATAGATTACAGAGTAACTCATGGCAGAACATTGAAATAGCAATTTGTGTATGAACTGGACATTTCCCCACCAACAAGTTTTAGATAAAATTCTCTGCTACATCTTAGAGAAGTGGCAAAACCCAGTCTGCAGACCAGACTCATTAACACAAGTTGATTTGGCAACACACCGTCACTGGCAACGGATCAGGAGCAGGTACCTGGGATCTGAGGTCAATTGATCCCAAACCGTGGCCTCAGCTGAGATCAGTAACTCAGCACTCAATGGGGAAACGTGTTGGGAATCTCTGGTCTGATGTAGGAATGAAAATACTTTTATGAAAATGAAGGGTAAGTAATTTGATGAAAACTGGTATTTCCAGAATATTTACTGTTATCTGCAGGTTTGAATTCTACCATCACAGACCGAACACTAACCCACACTGCACTAAGAGAAGCCTTGGATGATCCAAAGAATGGAGATTCTGCCTCTAAACATCTTAAGCAGCAGGTAGGAGGCTCACTGGACTGGTACAGATTTACAAGGAGTCATTGTTCGGTCAGGAAGGGCTGATTAATGAAGGAGTCCTTCCTGTGGGATAATGTCTAGAGCACTAGCGCTCGTAAAAAGCACCGAATCTGTGTGTGTGAAATGTGGCAATAATACATGGGATGTGTTGCACGTGGCAGAATGATTGTAGGGAACAGTTTGCCATGAATGAAACTGAGCTTGTGCAGAAAGGATCCAAGGATTTTAGCAATGCCCAGACAATTTGGAGAATTGTAGAATATTGAGAAATTGAGCTAAATAATAATAATCATCATAATAATAATCAGGAGAACTCTTCCCCCCCAAAAAACTTCTGGAGAATGGTTTGTCTCTGACAGATTAAGAAATTGCACCAATTTTAATCCTAATCTCTAGAACAGCTTTTCAACTTCACCTTTTTTTACCTCACCCACGCATTTGTCACCTCAAGGCTTGATTACAGGAACACCCTCATCGGCCTTCCCAACGCTTCCCTTCACAAGCTGCATATCATCCAAAACTCTGCAGCTCATGTACTCTCACGCACCAGGCTCCGCGACCCCATCACTCCCACCCTCACCCGACTCCACTGGGTCCCCATCCCCCAGAGGATCGAGTTCAAGATCCTCGTTCTCACCTTTAAGGCCATTCATGGCCTTGCCCCCTCCTACCTCTCTGACCTGCTGACTCCCTACCAACCTGCCCGCTCCCTCCGTTCATTGGGCTGCTCCATGGCTCCCGCCCGACCCGCCCTACCATCGGTAGCCGGGCTTTTGGCCTCTCTGCCCCCACACTCTGGAACTCCATCCCATGGTCCCTTCGCCTCGCTTCCTCCCTTGCCTCCTTCAAGACCCTTCTCCTCGACCGTGCCTTTGGACTCCCTCCCACTTCTATGCCTTCCCTTACCCCTACACCACCCCTCCGACACCTGACTGTTTAGAACTCTGGGACGTCCTCCCGACGTGAAAGGCACTCTATAAATGTAATTTTGTTGTTACAATTATTTTAGGCGGTTTCTCTGTGTCATGTAAAATGCTCACAATCGAGGCCTGATCAGACCAGACCAGCGCCAGTGTGAAAAATTTCTGCTTTAAGGGGATTTACTTTTAATACCAACACACAATGGTAAAGATAGTATAACATTAAACATGATTTCTATTAGGATACAGTCAGCGGCTATTTTGGCAGTGTTGCGTGAGACTAGCAATCATTGGAAGTAATCAGACGGATTCTGCTGCTCCCAAGTGTAGAAAATAGTTGAAGTTCAAATGCATTTGCCAAAGCAGTTAGGATGTTTCTTGTTACAGGCTTCTCTCGTGGGTAACTTGGAACGGCTGGGTTTGCTTGGATCAAACCGCTGCTTTGTGGAGTTTGGTGCTGGCCGGGGAAAGCTGTCCCACTGGGTAGCTCGGGCCTTACAAGGTGTCCCGAACGTTCACTTCCTCCTTGTGGAGAGAGCCAGCACTCGTTTCAAGGTAACGTTTACACACGTGAATTACTAACAATCGTTCACCATCGTGTTGAGATCTCAAATTAACCGGCATGAAATCTAATATTTCTCTGAAGGTCGACGGTAAACACCAAAATCAGGGCTCCATGTTTGGACGACTTCAGATTGACATACAACACTTGAGCCTAGGCAAGTCCTGCTCTGTAAATCATGGATATCCGCAGAAATTTGTTGTTTCTACCCGAAAGATTTGATTTGTTTGTGAATCACATGTACTTTGTTCCTGCAGATAAGGTGCCTCTTCTAACAAGTGAGACGCTGCCTGTTGTTGGAATTGGCAAACACCTGTGTGGAGCAGCTACAGGTATGGATGAGATGAAAAGTAAATCGTCATAATAGTCAGCGGCTGTTCCTTTGCAAATCTCATCTATACAATATCAAAGGCAACATCTTCATAGAATGGAGAGAGTTTTAACCTCACGTCAAGTATTGTCCTTCCAGCATCATCCAATATACAATCACAGAATGTTACTGCAAAGAAAATACCACCATGGAGTCTGCTAGTGTTTCTCCCCCAGCCACCTTGTCTGATCCCATCCTCTTGCTCACTCCTCACATCCCTTTTTAACATTCCTCACCTTCCATCTAATTCATTCCGTTTTAAAATTATTGATGGATTGTGCCTCCGTTTCAGCCAATACAGAATATTTCATAGACCCAGCACCCTCTGTATAGATAAGAGTATGCTTTGTTTTCCGCATCCTTCCCCTCCCACATCCCGAGCTCTCCTTGGAACTGCAGCTTAACCAATGTATTGTACAAATTGATCCTTACCTTCTTGCTCTTATATTCAATTCCTCCATCCATTAAACCTAGAATTCTATTACTTTTTACATGGTACCTACCTCTAAAAGCCCTAATAACTACTGGATCTCTGCTCCCTTCGCTCCATTAGTTTATAGTATATTTCCTTTCCTTTGTTCTTTTCAACCCCCACGTAAACTACTTTTGCATTTCTCCAAATGCTTAAGGATCTGCTCACATCACTGAGCTGTCTCCCCCCTCCGCTGTAGTTTGTGATCCTGCTGATAGTTTTCCCCCTAATCTAACCCATCAGGACACAGTCAGTGATGTTTCCGAGGATCTATTATATATACTATATATATATCATTATATATGATCTTGCCCAGAAAGAAGGATAAATGTCTCAATTTGCTATTCATCCTAAATGTGTCGCAAATACGCACTTATAAACTTGAAACATTTTCATGTTTGTTGCAATTCAATGTTTACAATTGCATAGATCTTTCTCTGAGGTGCCTGGTAGAACGTTACAGAGTGAAAGAAGATAATGACACAGAACCAGCCACAAAGAGATTGAAAGCGGATCCAACAGAGACACAACAGCAGCAAAGGGACCCAGACAAGGAGGTGAACTCCTCGCCCACCTTAGGGATTGCTGTTGCACTGTGTTGTCACCACAAGTGTGAGTGGAAGCACTATGTGGGCAAAGAATTCTTCTCTTCACAAGGTCTTGATAGGGAAGATTTTCAGATTTTCCAACGAATGTCAAGCTGGGCAACGTGTGAGAAGAGCTGCTCGTTGTCCCGAGCTGCCAGCGCAGAGCCTCCACAGGAGCACGGCTGGGGGGAGAGCTCACAGTGTGCTGCTGAAGTGTTAGAGTAAGTGCCGCACTTTCTTTACAAAATACAAAGGTGGGGTTTGGGAAATGTTCCAGAACAAGTCAATAACAAAAGAATCATTTGAGGATTATCACAAAGTGAAAAGGGTTAGGACTGTTTTTACACAGAAGTTTGTAAAATGTATGGATATCTTTTGAAGCAGAGTTCATCACTGAGTGTGTATATATATATCTGCCTTCATTATCTTACTGTAGTCCATTGAGCTCTATGTAAATTAATTTAGGACACAAATATAAGCTAGCGACGAGGGGATCTAAAAGAGAATTTCACGCATAGGAGAGAGAGATTGTGGAAGTTGCTGCCTGAAGTGGTGGATGCATTCAAGAGGAAAGTAAACCTTCACATGTGGGAAAGGGGAACAGAAAGGTGTGGGAGAGAGTAAGAAACGGGTGAAGACTCTCGTGGAGTATAAATACTGGCACAGACTGGTTGGGCCGAACGGCTATACATTCTTTGTAATCTAGTCTGTTCACATTCTCTATTCCAAGCTATTCCATTATAATACTTTAGTTTCACTGTAATTTCCTTGGCAGAATGCTGACTGTGAGAGAAAGGGAAAGCCTGGGTTTACTTTGCAAGCGGTTGATTGATCATGGAAGGATTGAGTACCTGCAGCAGCGAGGATTCATGGCCACACTGCAGTATTACACCAGCCCCTGCATCTCGCCAGAAAATGTCTTGTTAACAGCTGTACCACCACAATCAAAAGAGAATTTTTAATTCATTTATTTCTAGAATTCTTTATCGTACGATTTCCTTGAACAGAAATGTACTTCAGGCAAATAACCTTTTGCTGCAGTTGATAGTCCACCTGCGGGTAGCGACGGGTGCTTAGAATTTCTATTCTTTGTTACATTGAATGAAATGCATTCCTCCAGCAATTACCCAGCTGGTTCCTCAGTTGATAACAATTGTGAAGAAACTCTTGAGGAACAGTGAATAAATTCAGCTCTGCAGTTATTTTCCAAGCCTGAGCTTATTTAACACACGGTGTGAATTCAGGGCAAATCATGGTGTGATTTCAGCCTCGATTGGGGCAAAACCTTTCCCTGAAAGACAAAATTAAATTGGAAGTTTAATGATAATTTGCAATTAACCAATTAATAATTCCCATTGGATGCAACAGTTTAAAGCTACACTTTCTCTTCAGTAATAGCTGATGACTATTCTCCTTGGGGGGGAGGGGGAGAAGAGTCTCCAAGATGACATGTTTGGTAATGGAATGTCAAAATCGAGCCCCTCCTCTGTGGTGGTCTCGGTAGTCCAATTCCTGAGCCGCAGTGTTCCAGGGCACTGCTGATGACAGCACAGACTGGCTGGTTCATCGGAAGACCCTGGAAGGGTAGATCAGTCACTGGGGTCAGGGAATCCTCCTATGCAACTCCCATTAACCCTGCAAGCCAAAGCCCGAACAGGTAGAGTGGTCCTAGCTAAACAAGCAGCAGGAACGCTTGCCAGGTAGTGCTCTCGATGGCAAGCTATGCAGGTTCAGCTAACATTGACCTGAACAGGCAGACAGAACCTCATTTTACCATAGGTTTAAACTTTGTCTAGGCTCAAATTCCAAATATGGGTCTTAAACTACAACCTGCAGATTCAAAGGAGAGAGTGTTATCAACTGTGCCAGGCTGACACCTAATACTCTCCACAATTGCTTCAAATCCTCATTGGATTCATAAATGAAGAATAGCCATGCAGGCGGGTACCAGAAGTTTAAACTACATCAGCACAACCCAGCACTTTTGCAACAGATGGAAGAAAGTTTCACTCACGGTTTAATTCCTGAATGTAAACCAGCATAAACTCCAGACCAAAGAGCTCTCGGTCTTCCTCCTCCTCGGGGTTGATGCAGGGAGGAAGCGTAACGTGCAACTGGAGAGGGTTATCCCGCAGATTCACAAACCTTTCAAACATAAAACTTGAGATTAACATCTTAGAAACACACACACACCAACCAGAAGTGCAACCCAGCCCCCATTGAAAAGCGTTGAATAAATGTTGATTCGTTCAATATTTTCCTGTTGAAATCCATTAAATATGTTTATCATATAGACTTATCAATTGTATCTCTAAAATTTAAATCCAATCCAGAGGGAAGGTAAATCTAAAATGCAACATGTTTTTCAGAATATAATTAATTTATATAAAACTGAACTAAACACAGCATGAAGGGAGGGAGGGATCTGGCCGACATTGATCTTGAACCCACAACCATGCGACTCAGAGCTACCAACAACCAGGCTGATAAATCCACATTAATTTTCTTTTGTAGAGAGGTAAGCGGCTGCTTCTCAAGCTCTGCACCTCAAATTAGTGGAATTGTGTCCATCATTCAATGGGTTGGGATGTGTGTCCAAGCTGTGGGCAGGAAAATGGTGCCGATTCTTCCACACATTCCATGCTGAGTTATGTTGCCCACCAATAATAATAATAATAATCCTTGCAACCAAGGGGCTTGCAGGGAGTTCCTGGTACCTGTTAAGAGAGGTCAAACCTGTGCTTGTTGAACGACCAACTTGTGACTATCCTGGGGGGGGGGGGAATCTCGTTGGAGCTATTTTGGAGCAAGTTTATTTTGGAGGTGAAAGAGATTCTACTAGCCAAGGGATTGCATTCACTTAGTGACACAAAACAAGTGGCGGGGTTCTCATTTATTTCAGGTGCAGAACATTACCCCATAGTTTATGGTAACATTTACTAATTGGCTAAAAGGAATTATACTCTATTAATCCTGTGTTGCAGTGATCATTACCAATTGTAAACGTTATGCGAAGAAACCACCAAACAGATCTAGCAAGTAGTTGTTACCTGAGGTTAGACATTTGATCCATGCAAACAGGGATATTCTGGAGTTTGTTGCTGGTTAACACCAGAGTGCTGAGATTTCTCATTTTGCCGATAGCATCAGGAAGGTGAGTAATATTGTTCCTCTGGAGCCAAATTGTGTGAAGTTTTTCCATTCTGTGAAAAAAAATACTATTTAAATAAGTAGAAAATCTGTCAGATTTTCCTGCAGTTTTGTCCATTTTTTCTTCACTCACAAGTCTAAGCAGCAGCCAGTGAAGGTGCTCTGCTAAATGCAAGTTGTTCTTGTTATGTGTCTTTTAAGTATTTTTGAAGTAAAGTCTTGTTGACCTAAATTGACCATTATGCTGATATGGATTTTGTCTGTAATTGAGAATTACTGAACATCTGCACTGCTCTACTTTTCCATGAAATTTTGCTGGTAACTTTCGAAACCTTGCTAGGAATGAGTAATGTCTGTCTTCTTACCTCATGTCCTTGGATTCTGTCTGGTGCAGTCAGTCGTGTAGAAATGGTATGTGTAACCAGAGGGTCTTGATATGCAGAAATAAAACAGAAACTGTCTGTGTGTGATAGCCAGATGGCTTTTTGTTATGATGGAAGGAAGACTAGATTACAAATGTAGTAAACAAGTTGGGTATAAATATAGCCTAGAGTAGTTGTTGCTTGTTAGAACAGACCCAGGGAGAAAGTGCTGGAGCCACTGTACCTCTGTTCTGCCTTTCTGTAACTTTGCAGCGCTGATAAACTAAACTTGTGAGGTGGTCTCTGAAATCCGAAACTATTCGACTCAATCTTTAGAGTCAACAGGTCCCGATGGAGAACTTTCTTTGAATGTCAAATCATTGTAAAATCAGAAAATGAGAGAAT